CTGATGCAGAACGCAGAGTACAGCGGGACCAGTGATTGGTCAGTGCTGCTGATGCAGAACGCAGAGTACAGCGGGAAGAGTGATTGGTCAGTGCTGCTGATGCAGAACGCAGAGTACAGCGGAACCAGTGATTGGTCAGTGCTGCTGATGCAGAACGCAGAGTACAGCGGGACCAGTGATTGGTCAGTGCTGCTGATGCAGAACGCAGAGTACAGCGGAACCAGTGATTGGTCAGTGCTGCTGATGCAGAACGCAGAGTACAGCGGGACCAGTGATTGGTCAGTGCTGCGGATGCAGAACGCAGAGTACAGCGGGACCAGTGATTGGTCAGTGCTGGACTGCATAGTGTACAGCTGCTGCTGCTACTGCCGTCGCCGTTGTCACCATTCTACCCATGACCATCAGTAGGCACTGGTACTGATGTCTTTTGCAAATGTGCGTACCACTAGTATGTAGCCAGCCGCTAAGTAATAATCTACTGCTTTGCCAATGCACGGAATACATACCGTATTTGCCGGAGTATGATGCGCACCTGAGTATATAAGGCGCACCCCCTCTTTTGAGCAAGGTTTTGGCAACTCATGGTACATCCGGATATCCTGAGTATAATGCGCCGCCGCCGCCTAGATTTGAGATTTGAGAACATTATCGATGGTAAAGGCAGTACTATAGTGCGACCATTGTCAGAATTTATCCTAAAAAAAATGAGCATGCGTATGGCTTGCCACCGTTTAGGCGCTGCATCTGCGCCTTTGATCCTAGAGGGTGGTGGCGTTCCCACGGCGGATGCGGAAAACTCGGCTTCCAGCCGAGTCTCACGCGAACCGTGAAATTTATTTTTTTATTTATGGCTTGCGCAGGGTCAGAGGTCAGAGGTGGCACACTTCACAGCAGTTTTACTACTTGTAATTGTACTAGTTCTCGAAGTACAGTACATGCATTTTCATATTTGCATAGTGTGCACCTGCGATTTGGGGCCAGAACGAATAGTGCCTCTAAAGTGCGCACTAACTCCGGCAAATATGGTAGTGTGACTTCTTGTGCAGCTAGTACATGTGTGGTAGAATTTGAGTGTGTTGATACAGCAGCTGTAGTACAGCATATTGGTGTTGATTATGATCTCTATCCGTCAGTTCTCTACACTATATCTCTACCCCAGTACATAGGCTGAAGACTACCCTGCACTACTGTATCTCTACCCCAGTACATAGGCTGAAGACTACCCTGCACTGCTGTATCTCTACCCCAGTACATAGGCTGAGGACTAACCTGCAGTGCTGTATCTCTACCCCAGTACATAGGCTGAGGACTAACCTGCAGTGCCGTATCTCTACCCCAGTACATAGGCTGAAGACTACCCTGCATTGCTGTATCTCTACCCCAGTACATAGGCTGAAGACTAACCTGCAGTGCTGTATCTCTACCCCAGTACATAGGCTGAAGACTAACCTGCAGTGCAGTATCTCTACCCCAGTACATAGGCTGAGGACTACCCTGCACTGCTGTATCTCTACCCCAGTACATAGGCTGAAGACTAACCTGCATTGCTGTATCTCTACCCCAGTACATAGGCTGAGGACTACCCTGCAGTGCTGCATCTCTACCCCAGTACATAGGCTGAGGACTAACCTGCAGTGCTGTATCTCTACCCCAGTACATAGGCTGAAGACTACCCTGCAGTGCTGTATCTCTACCCCAGTACATAGGCTGAAGACTACCCTGCATTGCTGTATCTCTACCCCAGTACATAGGCTGAAGACTACCCTGCAGTGCTGTATCTCTACCCCAGTACATAGGCTGAGGACTACCCTGCACTGCTGTATCTCTACCCCAGTACATAGGCTGAAGACTAACCTGCAGTGCTGTATCTCTACCCCAGTACATAGGCTGAAGACTACCCTGCAGTGCTATATCTCTACCCCAGTACATAGGCTGAGGACTAACCTGCATTGCTGTATCTCTACCCCAGTACATAGGCTGAAGACTACCCTGCAGTGCTGTATCTCTACCCCAGTACATAGGCTGAGGACTAACCTGCAGTGCTGTATCTCTACCCCAGTACATAGGCTGAAGACTACCCTGCAGTGCTGTATCTCTACCCCAGTACATAGGCTGAGGACTAACCTGCAGTGCTGTATCTCTACCCCAGTACATAGGCTGAAGACTACCCTGCACTGCTGTATCTCTACCCCAGTACATAGGCTGAAGACTACCCTGCACTACTGTATCTCTACCCCAGTACATAGGCTGAAGACTACCCTGCAGTCATTATAATCTGTGCACTGTACTGCATCCGCGCCGCTCTGCTTAAGCATGATCATATTCAGATGAGATGCTATACTACTCCGTCTGCAGAATCTGAACAGTATGACCTTGTACATATTACTGGTCTGAGTTCTACTTTAGATCAGTGACCGGTTTATTCGCTGAGTCTCTAAAATGCTACTACGGCTACTACGGGTACTACATGTATGTACTTCAAGTATTGCACTGTATTCATACTTGTACTCTGGGCTCGCACTCTGCTCTGTATTTACATGCTGATTTTGAGTACAAGCGAGTACAACCAAAAGCATGTGCTTGTACACTGAACAGGTCCTGAGTTCTATCTGCAGAACTATGTGTGTATGCAAACCGTTTATTTTTTTCCTCTTCGATTGAAACTGTTTATGCTTGTGCATGTCCATTCCTTGCAGGGCTTCATTATCACACGACTGTAAAGTGTATACTGCAGATGCCATGGTCATCAGTTGTATTGCATATCACCAGCCATGTACATGGACATGTGTTATAGAGCTGCACTGTGTTCACACTATTCATGGCCGAGTCTGTCTCAGCTGTCCAATATCAAGACGAAAAATGGGAAAATCTTCCGATTTCAGATGTAAAAAACGATAAAAACACAGTTTTTCGAAGAAAATACACAGTTACCATGGCAACCAGGCAAAAAAGCCACGGTTGCCATGGTAACCATGCTGTATTTTAGCCCATTTTCCAGGCTTACAGCGGTTGCCATGGCAACCAGGATTTCGTTGCGAATTAGGTTTGTTTCCATGGTAACCCATACAATTTCTCTGATAAACCTGGTTGTTTTTGCCTAAAACGATCCGATTCTGGAAAGCCCTGGAATTTTTTTACCTGCGTAATTTTTTTTATGCAGAATGACCCAACCACATGCACAGTGCACAGTATTGATTTTAGTTTTATAAAGTGAAGTTTAATTGTAATGGCAAGAGTGTGGAAGGAAGAGAGGAGAGGAGAGGACAAGCAAGATAAAAGTAATGAGAAGCAAGAAATAAAAAGGATTAAAAAGAAGATAAACCTGTACATCATTACAGGGGGAAAACAGTGATTTGTGGAAATCCGGCATGTTAAAGATACAAAAACGGAAGGACTCAATTGAAGTTGAAACAAAACACACAAAAAAAAAAAGTAAACTGATTGTCTCTAAGAAATACACGTAGAAAACAAGAACTTGAAATGAACATGGAAGACTGAAAAGTTTACAAGGCCACATGTAAATAGTTATCAGGATGCAAGAATTGTAAAGGAGCAAGATCACAAAAATCAGTGTTGATCTCGATACAGTATAACTTACTTAAACTGCTTTACTATGCAGTACATTGTGAGTACATGCACAAAACCATTCTGTTTGCTAGGACGGCAACAGAACCAGGGAATTCTAGCCCATAGCAAAGTATCTAAAAATCTTATGCTCTGAAAACTGACTGCTCCGTGTACTTGCACAATGTGAATGGGGTGACTGTTCCGTGTACTTGCACAATGTGAATGGGGGAATAGCAATATACGTACGAGTATACAGGATCATAAAGCCACGGCATGATATCACAAAACAACGGTGGGTTATCGGAGAGTCAAAATGGTTCATTTACGCTGCAAGTACTACTTCTACTAAAGTATAATCCCATAGTACCATTATTATTATTACGAGTCCACAAAGGACGAAACAGTTCTGTCCGCAGATTGAGTGATTATTATTATTATTATTTTTTCTCTCACTAGTTTGAGGGTTTGAGTTGATTCTTGTAAATGTAGACAGACAACGCAACACACCATGTTGACTATGTTGACCATGTTGACTATGTTGACCATGTTGACTATGTTGACCATGTTGACTATGTTGACCATGTTGACCATGTTGACTATGTTGACTATGTTGACTATGTTGACTGACAGGCACTAGCAGTAATTCCTATAACTTTGTGTCTTTATTCAGAGTCAAATTTCGGTTGAACCATGCTGGAGAGACAGGCCAAACGGCCAACATTTTCTTTTCTCTGGAATTCACTGCTAGCTAAATTGAAACAAATGAATTGAGTGTGTACTCTACTGTTGACGGTGGTCTCAATAGACAACTTTCCAATTCAATGCCATGACAAACTGGTCCAGTACAGTGTAGCAATGTCGGTAAGTTCACCTTGGTGTGAGCGGGATGCTTGCACCTGATTCACTAAGCTGACTACATGTAACTTGATATGCATATCAATATTCTTTAAAGCTGGCCCCGCTTATCCCGTGAGGCATGGATGTACACTCCGGCAGACAAGGAAAAGTGTCTTTATTTCCAATATGTCACTATTCAACCCAGGCCTTGGACTAGAAACAAGGAGCTGTGGGCAAACATTTCCATCATTATTGATGATCTGTCTTTGTTGCATATAATGGCTGCATTGTCATGTACATGGCTATTGACATACTATAGCACAGGCACACTCGCCTTGTTTTCTCATGGCCAGGTCTGATGGCCAGGTCTGATGGCAATAGCAGTCACATACATGGCACTACATTCTTGGTCAACTTTCATGTCTTGGTTGACTAGTGTGTCTTGCATGCCGGTACAATGTGGTCTCTCCACTCTAGTGTGGTCTCTCTGCTCTAGTGTGGTCTCTCCGCTCTAGTATGGTCTCTCCGCTCTAGTGTGGTCTCTCTGCTCTAGTGTGGTCTCTCCGCTCTAGTGTGGTCTCTCCGCTCTAGTGTGGTCTCTCTGCTCTAGTGTGGTCTCTCTGCTCTAGTGTGGTCTCTCCGCTCTAGTGTGGTCTCTCTAGTGTGGTCTCTCCGCTCTAGTGTGGTCTCTCCGCTCTAGTGTGGTCTCTCCGCTCTAGTGTGGTCTCTCCGCTCTAGTGTGGTCTCTCCGCTCTAGTGTAGTCTCTCTGCTCTAGTGTGGTCTCTCTGCCCTAGTGTGGTCTCTCTGCCCTAGTGTGGTCTCTCTGCTCTAGTGTGGTCTCTCTGCCCTAGTGTGGTCTCTCCGCTCTAGTGTGGTCTCTCCGCTCTAGTGTGGTCTCTCTGCCCTAGTGTGGTCTCTCCGCTCTAGTGTGGTCTATCTGCACTGGTGGGCCTATTTGTTTACTGAACATGGAGAATTTACTTAGTTATGTCCCTGCAGCAGTAGCATTTTCTACCCTTTCCCTACCATTAGCACACTTTCCCCATCCTGAGCAGCACACTTTCCCTATGGTACTTGCACACTTTCCCCATCCTGAGCAGCACACTTTCCCTATGGTACTTGCACACTTTCCCCATCCTGAGCAGCACACTTTCCCTATGGTACTTGCACACTTTCCCCATCATGAGCAGCACACTTTCCCTATGGTACTTGCACACTTTCCCTATGGTACTTGCAGCGTAAATGGAGCACCTCCTACAGTGGTTATTAAGTGATACACAAAAGAAAAATATATAAGACATTTTCAAATATAGCATAGCTCTAGCATTACTACAATGATGTCTCACTTCCAGACCACCTTGTGGAAGTTTGTGCAGCCTCTGCCATAGTGTAGCTCAGCCGACAATAACTCAGAGAGTACTCCTCCCGTCGAAGACAGTATCTTGCAAAGCATATGTTTCCATCTATGGCCGCGTACTGCCATACAAGAAGTGTTGTCAGAGTACAATTAGCTTGCTATCAACCTAAGAAAATGGATGCACAAACACATGCACACCCACATGCACACCCACGCACAAACACGTACGTAAAACACACATGCACACACTTTTAAAATTAATACACACACAAACACCCACCCACGCGCACACACATACACACGCACGCACAGTCGTACACACACACACACCTTTTGACGACCATCGCTGGAGGCGATGATAGCAATGCTATGGCAGAAGCCATAGCAACTTGTGCTGGGATTGCACCATTCAACAGCTTGCAAGGCTGAAGAATTGACCGTCACTATACAGCCTGGTCTACACCATACAGCTATTTGAAGTGACTTTTTCTGGCCAGTGAATCCCTATTTTTGGTCTTTTTTTCCACACACACACACACACCTCAGACCTCAGACATGCCCCCCCCCCCCCCACACACACACTTGTACTTGTACTTGCTCACTGCCAAAACTGGTCACGTGGGTATCCCCGGGAGAGGGGAGAGAGACTCAAAAGGAATCTTGGAAAGATGACTCAAATGGCCATTGAACCACCCAGCGGCCGACACCCCCTGAAATCCCCAAACTAGAGTGGACTTGGAATGATCCCACTTATGGGCTCACCACACCTCAGTAAGTGGGTGAGGACACACACACACACACACACACACACACACACACACACACACACACACACACACATGCCCACACACACACACACACACACACACACACACACACACACACACACACACACACACCCCTGTGCATGTACGCATGCACAAGAAAAAAAACCGGTATCTTAGACCCCGGTGCGGCTAACAAACAGGAAAACACGGTATACATTCATGCCTAGTTTATCCAGGCGGCCTGGGACAGGGCACTGACCGTAACTTTGAAATTGAAATGTCCGTAAATCCGAATCACATACACTTTGATAGGGAAAGGCCATAGATATGGCATGTGACGTCACTATTTCCACCGTAAAGTACTGTTGAACCGCCCCCTCTCTAGTTGCCACCCCCTGTCGATTTTCTGCCTGTGAAGGACTTCGGCGTATACAAGGAAATACGATGTTGAACCGACGCATGCACTGCTGTGCACAATACGTGCCAGTGCAGGATGAACATGTGCACAATTCAGCACATCGAGTCTGAACTTCCATGTTGTTGTACATCGTACTGCACTTGACAGCCTTGATCTAATTCCCGCCCCCTGCCGAAACATCTCACCAGATAAGACCACATTGTGGATGGCACATGCGAAACTTCCAGCAACTTAACACTCGTGTGCAATTGCAACAGCGATACAACCTGAAATTCAATTCTGTCATCGCTGTCAGTCTGCTATTCTTTCCATGCACTCACCATCTCATAAATTTGAATGCCCCGTTCACTGTTTCCTGTAAAAGGACAAAAACATCAACTATAAGAAGTCATGTCACATCTTCGCTATCGGCAGCAAAAAAAGCAAGACATAAATGGAACATTTTAAATAGCGAGGAGGAAAGTGTGTAGAGGATAGCAACAACTTACTCCATCACAACTGTTAGGCTACATCTCACTGAATGGCAACCACCTACCCAGCCAATTCAAAAAACTAGTTCAGCATCATACTATGCTTCCACATCTTCCCGTATCCTTTTCTGAACATCAGCAGAGTTCTAGCCAAAAGGGGGTACGGTGGCGGAGCACCCCGTACTCTGATTGAGCGCCCTCCTGTAAACAAAGTGGTGCCCCCCCCCTTCTCACTTGTCGTTTGTTTGTGTTTTTCCGGGCTATTCAGCGAAAATACAGTCGACAGTCACTAACAGAGGATTCACAAAGGCACCCTTGTCTGGGGTGAAGTTGGGGTACGTTGCATTTTGGGTGGCAAGATAATTTTGGAAAGGGAAAATGGGTAACTGTTTCCCCTGCCCCCCCCCCTCCCTTCTGCTATTTTCACCTGGCTAGAGTCCTGACTAGTTGTTGGAGACAAGTTTCGAGGAGCAATCGTCCCGATGCGAGCACAGTCAACTAGGTTTGGCTAGATATATTTTGTAGATGCACCAACGCGCAAAGTAGCATAATTATAAATATTTGAAAGAAAGCGATTGCTACGGTGCAGCAGCAGACACAAGGAAAATATACTGTTGAAGATTCATTTTAATCCACCACGGAGACATCAATCTCAGGACTCGGACAAGGAGGCGTCGCACTCAAATCACAAATCCATTTCATGCACAAGTACTGTACGATGTTTGATGCAGCGCTGCACACCGGTTTATCCACAAAATATAATTTTTCAGTTGTGGCTGCTTGGCCTGATATGAAGCTGCATAAAGTGTCAAACAAATTCTAATTTATTATTTATTTTTCAGTTCAGGGTGTTGAAAAGGGAAAGGGTCTGAAGAAAATTTGATTGTCACCATCAGAACCAGGGTTGGAACCAGGGACCTTCGCTATAGGCCAACAATGCTCTAACCACCGAGCTATGGTGTAGCTGACATACCAGCAGAGACCTTTCAACATTTTCTTCAGACTTCGAAACTCATGCTTTCTGTGACACTACACAGGCTAATGTTAACGCCCAAACTAGTACGAGGAGAGCCCCAAATTATCAAACATTTATCAATACTAAGTATTATCAGTTGAGGCTTCATTGCTTCATTCTTTATCATAAACAGTTACTTCTTAGTGGTGGAGCATCTCTGGACATAAGCGTGGGTCCCTGATTCGAGTCCTAGTGGAGACAGTCAATTTTATCTTCAGACTTTTTCCCATTTTCAACTCCCTCAACCTTATGAATATCATACTGTAAAAGCCATTATTCTAACGAGGCGCATATATAACCATTTCCCAAAATTGACTAGTTTACGTGTACCAAAGGTGACGATTCTCGCGCATTCTCAACGCTCAATAGAACAGTATATGTATCGATTTCTGTATAACGATTTATATTTTAACGACAGATTTCTCCTCGTTAAAGGGGAAGTATACCCTAAAATCAAATTTTCACCAGTTGTAGTCTTCGGGGTGCTGAGTCGAATGGTCTTGGTCCGAGGAAGCTGAGACGCTCCCTTCCTCCTTTATTCCCAATTGAACTCGTGCACTTCCACCGAAACTGGGTGACTGCGCCCTACTAGATGGGGATTTGTATGCAAAATGTCACTAAAAGCACCATTTCGTTCTTATAAAAGCACGGATGACCGCCATTGGCCCATATGTTGTAGTCTTTTGGACGCTGAGTCAACTGGTTTTGGTCCGAAAAGGCTGCGATGCAGCGTTCCTCCTTTATTCCCAATCGAACATGGTTGAACAAGCGGTCACGTGCTCCTGCGTACACCAGTCACCTGGTCACCGTGCCTGCAGGGTACAACTTACTAGCCTGTTTGACCTTTTTTGGGTGCAGTCCTGTCACTCGAGTTGAACTCGAGTTGAACCTTGGTGTGAAAGTTGTCGCCTGCTGGCGCGGTGACCAGGTGATTTGGGCACCCAGGAGCACGTGACCGCTTGTTCAACCATGTTCGATTGGAAATAAAGGAGGAACGCTGCATCGCAGCCTTTTCGGACCAAAACCAGTCGACTCAGCGTCCAAAAGACTACAACATATGGGCCAATCGCGGTCATCCGTGCTTTAATAAGAACGAAATGGCGCTTTTAGTGACATTTTGCATACAAATCCCCATCTAGTAGGGCGCAGTCACCCAGTTTCGGTGGAAGTGCGCGAGTTCGATTGGGATTCAAGTAGGAAGGGAGCGTCGCAGCTTCCTCGGACCAAGACCATTCGACTCAGCACCCAGAAGACAACTGGTGAAAATTTGATTTTAGGGTATACTTCCCCTTTAACTCGTTGGAGTTAGCACTTCGTTATATATATATATATATATATATATTTAAATAGAGACGTAGGCGAACAAAATTTGTATACACACAACAACAAGGTTGTCAGTTTCATAACACTAAAAGCTTTTCACCCATTTTCATCAGTAGATACATGGGAATGAGCAAGAACGAAAACGAAGCCAGAATTTATACTGGGGGTAGAGAATCAGCAAGAATATTCTTACGCGCCTCAAGTTCACACTACACTACCATAAGAATGTATGGAGCAGTGGAAAAATGCGGGAAACAACACATGAGGGGAATGCAGTACCAGAACAAACACGTGATAAAGTTTTCAGTCCGGTTGCAGCTTGAACAGCCGCAGCACCTTGATGTGCTTCTTTTGTCGACACAGCTCTGGCCTCAAACTGCGAATGTACAGCGCCTCCAGTGTGAATCTGTGCGCGCTGTTCCGGGCTGGTGTGATGACACTGAAGCTGCTGTTGCGTTCTTGCGGGATGCATTCAGGTTGCGCCTGCAAATGCTTTGTGATGGCGCTATCACTTGTTGCCACACGTTTGTCAGGCGGCTTCTTGTACAGCTTGTCTGGGATATGCTGCTTGATCCTTTCCGAGAATCGCTGACATGTCTCACCAACGTACGTTCGCTCACAGCGACACGCATACTTATAAATAAAATTACTATTTTCAAGAGTTGGTGAAACATCCTTCGCGATAGACCTGAATGCGGGCCTGGTTGTATAAATTACAATGGGGGATACTGTAGGATAGCAGTTCAAAATTGCAGCTTTAATCTTTTTGCGGAAGGCAATGCAATTTTGCAGGCAGAATTCGAACTAACAAATGATCAATTGGAGCGCTGCGTACCAGTGAGTGATGCCAAGAGGGATACGTGTCAAGCAGCGTTGGCGAATCTTGCAGAAGAGTTTAGTAACAGTAAAGCAGATAAAACCGATTATCCTCTCAACGACAAGCATATGGCAGCCATCAGGAAAATAAAGAATAACAAAGATATAATAATCAGCAGGCCGGACAAAGGGAATGGAGTGGTGATAATGCAGCGAAGTGATTACAATGACAAGATGAATGCTATTCTGGCTGATGCATCGAAGTTTCAACTCCTGGGACCGACGGAAACGCATGACCGCACTTACCTGGATGAACGCGCCTTGCAGGCATACCTATTGCGATACAAAAAGGCTGGAAAAATACTCAATATAGATTACGACCGGATCCGACCCGTTGGCTCGTGCCGACCTGTGCTCTATGGCGTACCGAAAATACATAAGAAAGACGTGCCACTTCGACCAATCCTGTCCATGATCAATGCTCCCCAACACGAAATGGCCAAGTGGTTAGCTGAATTACTAAAACCAGTCCTGAACAAATATTCCGCCCACGCAACTAAGGATACATTCGAGTTCGTGGATGATGTACGGGAATTTGGCCAGCAGCAGGCAGAGAACTCTGGATCGCTGTTCCTGTGCTCTTTCGATGTAGTCAGCCTCTTTACAAACGTGCCTCTCAAGGAAACAATAGATATCTGCATACAGTCGCTATACCATGATGATGAAATATCAGCCCCGCAAATACCCCAAGATCTTTTCAAGAAGCTGCTTTTCAAAGCCACATCAGACGTGCAGTTCAGTTTCAATGGCAATATGTACGCACAGAGGGACGGAGTAGCCATGGGTTCACCCTTGGGCCCCGTGCTAGCCAATATCTTTGTTGGATATTTTGAGAACACAATTCCAGACAGTCATTGGCCCCAATTCTATAGGCGTTATGTGGATGACACATTCGCAGCATTTCACAACCGGAAACTGGCATTGGAATTCTCTGAGCGTTTAAATAATCTTCACCCAGCTCTCCAGTTTACAATGGAGGAGGAGAATAATGGAGAATTGCCGTTTCTTGATGTATTGATTAAGCATTCTTCCACAGAATTGCTCACCACAGTATATAGAAAGCCGACGTTCACAGGTCTTTACACCCGCTGGGACTCGTTTTGTGACACTAGAAACAAAATCAATTTGATCAGATCATTAACTTTCAGAGCTAAAACCATCTGCTCACCATCACTATTATCAGCTGAAATTGCTAAGCTAGAGGATATTCTGTGTTCTAACGGTTACCCACTCAAAGTACTCAAGCGAGTCATGACAAGCGTTCTTGAACCTAGCCCAGATACAGCTTCTGCACAACTTGAACCTGCAACGCGTATTATCACAAAATTGCCGTGGAAAGGGCAAAATTGCATTGCCTTCCGCAAAAAGATTAAAGCTGCAATTTTGAACTGCTATCCTACAGTATCCCCCATTGTAATTTATACAACCAGGCCCGCATTCAGGTCTATCGCGAAGGATGTTTCACCAACTCTTGAAAATAGTAATTTTATTTATAAGTATGCGTGTCGCTGTGAGCGAACGTACGTTGGTGAGACATGTCAGCGATTCTCGGAAAGGATCAAGCAGCATATCCCAGACAAGCTGTACAAGAAGCCGCCTGACAAACGTGTGGCAACAAGTGATAGCGCCATCACAAAGCATTTGCAGGCGCAACCTGAATGCATCCCGCAAGAACGCAACAGCAGCTTCAGTGTCATCACACCAGCCCGGAACAGCGTGCACAGATTCACACTGGAGGCGCTGTACATTCGCAGTTTGAGGCCAGAGCTGTGTCGACAAAAGAAGCACATCAAGGTGCTGCGGCTGTTCAAGCTGCAACCGGACTGAAAACTTTATCACGTGTTTGTTCTGGTACTGCATTCCCCTCATGTGTTGTTTCCCGCATTTTTCCACTGCTCCATACATTCTTATGGTAGTGTAGTGTGAACTTGAGGCGCGTAAGAATATTCTTGCTGATTCTCTACCCCCAGTATAAATTCTGGCTTCGTTTTCGTTCTTGCTCATTCCCATGTATCTACTGATGAAAATGGGTGAAAAGCTTTTAGTGTTATGAAACTGACAACCTTGTTGTTGTGTGTATATATATATATATATATATATATATATGACTTTTACAGTATTTCAGTAGTTATTTGAGTGTGCAGGGTTCAAGCCAGATCAAAATAGTGGGGTCGGGGGGGGGGGGGGGGGGCAGGGGAAACAGTTACCCAGTAACCCATTTTGCAAATATTGTCGTGCCATGCCGAAAGCAACGTACGGTGGCGAACCCTTCACCCCAGACAAATGTGCCTTTCTGAGCCCCCTCATGACTATCGACTGCGTTTTCGTTGAATGACATGAAAAACACCAAAAATCGACAAAGGAGGGAGCGCCACTTTTTCACGGGGGGGGGGGGGGGAGGTCAATCAGAGTAGGAGGGCACTGCCCCCGCCCCCCCCCCCCCTTTCTGTAAGTTCCAAACGCCAAACAGTAAACAACTTCTGCCAACAAAAACTCTCCCCTTCTCCCTTTTTCGCATGATAGTATGCCCCCCTTCCCCCCCCCCCCCCCCCCATGCCACACCCTCTACATCACACACCCTCTACATGCCACACCCTCTACATCACACACCCAACCTAAACACATCCTACAAACAAATGTACAATCACAACAGTTTGTTCAACTAGCAATTCAATGTCAGTTTTGAAACTATCTGTGCTCACCTGTGCATGAAATCCGTTCTGCTTTCCACGTTCGACAGTATTCCGCTTGCTGCGGTGAGTTTTCTATGGCAGCCCTTCCGTGCATGAAAATTTGTCCGATACGGACAGGATTCCACTTGATGCAGGGACCGCTAAGCCCAAGTGGCATCGTACTTGGAAAGGAGTCAAGAGTTGGCCTGTACACCAATTATAAAAGCAGATACTGGACAAAAAGAAATGTTACAAAATCGCCACAAAGGGTATGGTGAGCGCTGATGTGCACTCCACTCTAATTACCGTAATCTTGCGCCCGCCGTCTTAGGGGCTGTCCGGGGTTACCAATAGTTTTTGCTAAACGAAAAGTTTTAGTATTTTTCAGCACCCACCCACCCACCTACCTTTTCTGCAGGTAAAACGAATTCCAATAAAATATTGATGTCAATTTTCGACACCCAGAAGTAACTGGGTATTCTCCATCTGCATTCAATAATTATTTTCAAAACGAAACTCCTTCAAACCCACCCACCCCCAAACGAAAACTTTTCGTTTTGAAAATACTATTGGTAACCTTGGACGGCCCCTTATAGTGGAAAAATCGCTGTTTTCTGTCCTTTCACTAGTGCTTTTACCTTCAAATAGAAGAACATGGTCAAATATAAGAACATGGTCTTTTATGCCAGAGACAAACATCGCATATAAGAACATGGTCTTATATGCGAGAGACAAACATGGCATCAACATGTATATGTGCAATTATACCTCACTCCATATGCACTTACCGTCTTAGGCATGCTCTCCCTTAGCGGTGTGTGTATCTCCATATACACCGCTAAGGGAAATTAGCAGTAGTTGTCGGCGGGGAACAAGCCGTTAGGAGGTCACACACGGTGAATATGAAGAGGTATAAGTATATCATAACACATGAACCTCGTGTATACCGAGATATATACACCAGTTATAAAAACCTCGGCTTCGCCTGGGTTTTCATATTGGTGTATATATGTGTAGATACACTCAATAGACACTCGGTCACTCGGTTCCTTGTTATCATATATACTAGTACATGTGCAGCGGCACACAGCATGCATGCATGCTCCACACATATCACATGCTAGCATGTGCATCGGGACGGAGATCAATGTACAGTGTACGCATCTGATTTTCATTCACAGAGGTGGTCTAATATTCGAATATGACACCATGGTCTTATATGCGCTAGATTACGGTATGTGGATTTTGGATAACCAGATTGCCACCAGGCTGGCACAAATGAGTTTGCGTACACTAAGGTAAGTTTTTTTTCTCGCTCTGTTGCTGCCCCCCCCCCCCTCTCTCTCTCTCTCTCTGTCTGCCTGTCTCTGGCTCTCTGTAGATGAGGAAGATGGAGCCGAGAGCACCGTATTTTACCCGTGATAAATCTATCCCACTACATGGGGTCTCGATTCACCGGTTCAATATCAATATGATCAAAAGCTGTTTGCCAGTAACTCAAGCAAGTCGACCACCTTCTTTTAATTTTTTCTGTAGGTCATACTAAAAGGTCGACTTCTAACCAGGAAAATACGGTGGTTGTGAAACGGAGTATGATGTCGAGAAGGAGAAGAAGATAGATGGAGATGAGAGTGGCAGAAATGTAGCTATGCCTCCCCCCCCCCCCCCCCCACAAAAAACGACTTTGGGGACAGAAACCGAGCGCTAGTGCAACATGCATGATAGAACTAAGAACACATCATCACTATGCAAGCATAATTGCTGCATTGCCTCATCCGAATCACACTATCACCATACCAATCCATGCCTACAACCTGGAAGGCAATACCCATAATCATGTCCAGATGTCAATGAATTGCATCCGTAACAAAATAGCTAAGCTTCAAGCAGCCCAACAGGAAGGAGTGAGGACTCGTATTTTCTGAACCATACACTACAAGATAGTGGACTGTCTCCGTTACCACCTGGGACATTAAAAAAAGAGTAAATTATCGTGTCCGTTCCCCGAAGGGAACTGGGACATGCTGTCCAAAAACTAGTGCACGTTTACTTGAAATAGGCATATTAGAATATGGGGCATACTGTCCAAAAACTATTGCACGTTTACTTGAAATAGGCATATTAGAATATGTTCACACTTTACCACATACTACTTGCACTAACAACAAGATAAATTTCCTATCCATTGACTATCCATTGACGACGGACAGTGCTTTCTTAAGCTCCGATAACAGGCATCATGCTAGAGACATGTATGCCAAACACTGCAGCATGGTCACCTCTACGCAGTCTAACAAAACATATGCACAGACAGTCCTTGTTACTCCAAACAGCAAGCATATCCTCTCTGGGGCCACATATCCTGACAGTATGACCGAAGTCAAGCGTGACACTGTTGCATCATGAGAGCGGTGCTGCAGGGCCTGCACTGACCATGTGTCATAGTAGAATAGCGAGTTTGACTGATCTTCCCAGATCAATGAGATCACACTAATCAGGATTTGTTCAATACCTTTTGGACCCCAGCAAAGCATTGCTGCTGGTGAAACTCGAGTCACTTCGGAGAGGATATCTTGTATATTGAGTGACACAGGATGTTTTTGCAGATGTCTTGTTAGACTGCATAGAGGTGACCAGGCTGCAAGGTTTGGCATACAGGTGTCTGGTGTGGTGCCTGTTGTTGGAGCTTGAGGAAGTGCTTTCCGTCATCGGGTATACCCATGTATTGGACGTTGATAGAGATGTTCACTACTGGAAGTCAACCAATATCGCCAAAGTCGCACCAACCTCTTCTTCACATTGTTGTCCCCAGCGCGGGCTTGCAAATTAAATGGTTTGGAGGCAACAACGTTGTGAATGGCCAACGCTCCTCAGCGTTTGTTCAGCACCTCCATGAGCGACACTGACTCACGCTGCTATCTGGTGTTCACGAGGTGTTTGTCGCGCTGGAAACGGAGCGTCTCCGTAAGTTTGTATCCCTGTACTGGTGACGTTTGTGCCTGGAGAGCACTGTATAAGTGGTGCTCTTCAGGCACAAACATACACAGTTCCTCAGCCTACTCAAGCTCAACTGATGAGGCGTGAATTCACCGAAACACTGTGTATTGAGCAGGGAGCGGTGCCTTCTTGCAGGTTTGCCGAGTGGACGGTTCGATGGACTTCTCGTGTTCTCTGGATGGCAGTCGTGAGTCAGTCAAGTGAGAATTCAAGTCGGCAGGAAAACCGCGAGCTCCCATGTAGGGAGCAACACACTCTTCCCCTGATCATATTTGCCTGAAAATTGGTTGCAGCCGAAATTTTGTTCTGCAAAGTTTAGTGTGACAGTGTATACAGGCAGCAGCAGAACAGGCCGAAAATTTGTTGCAGCCAAAATGTGTTTTAGCCCTGGGAAGCTGAAATTTGAATGGGCGAAAATTTGTAGACTTACAGTATCTTGCAGTGCATGGTCACTCAGTGCGTGGTTGAGATAATATGAGGTGTACACTGATACCTGATTACCCTAACACCAAAGTCACGGGTATCTTGCAGTGCGGGGTTCAGATAATATGAGGTGTACACTGATACCTGATTACCCTGACACCAAAGTCACGGGTATCTTGCAGTGCGGGGTTCAGATAATATGAGGTGTACACTGATACCTGATTACCCTGACACCAAAGTCACGGGTATCTTGCAGTGCGGGGTTCAGATAATATGAGGTGTACACTGATACCTGATTAACCTGACACCAAAGTCACGGGTATCTTGCAGTGCGGGGTTCAGATAATATGAGGTGTACACTGATACCTCATTAACCTGACACCAAAGTCACAGGTATCTTGCAGTGCGGGGTTCAGATAATATGAGGTGTACACTGATACCTGATTACCCTAACACCAAAGTCACGGGTATCTTGCAGTGCGGGGTTCAGATAATATGAGGTGTACACTGATACCTGATTACCCTGACACCAAAGTCACAGGTATCTTGCAGTGCATGGTTGAGATAATATGAGGTGTACACTGATACCTCATTACCCTAACACCAAAGTCACGGGCACTTCGGTCTACCGGGCACTCTTTGGGAAACTTCAAGTCGAAAAATTGCTACTCTTTTGTCACTTTCGTGGATCCGCACAACGCAATTAAGTTAGTACTAACGTTATAACGTAGTCGATCTATGGAAAGTCTTACGTACACTGCATATGGATCCGTGTTCCGCCATACGCAGTTTCCAATCATGTAGCTGCCCTTGGCAACTCCAAACGCGACAGTGTACGGCTTAGGGAGAGAGTCATAAATGTATACCCCAATCCACTTACGGAGGGAGAGTCATAAATTTACACCCTAATCCACTTACGGAGCACCTCCATTAGTAGAGCTCAATTTATGTAGTCTTCGTAGACAACTTTCCAAAAGTGGAGTGAAAACTCGCGAATTTACGGGTTTCCCGCCCACTTACGTAGTGCGGAACCTCTGTAGTGACATCATGCCATAGATCTAGCCATTCCCTCAAATGTACGTGACTCAGAGTTACAGACATTTCAAAGTTACGGGCAGTGCTCGGTCCCGGACCACCCTGGATAAACGAGGTGTGAGTGTAACTTATTCCTGTTGGGGCGCTTGAATTTTGGCAATTTTGTGATGCAGTCCATTGAAGTCTGCACATGATGGCTGTTGCCTTCCAGCTGACGCCTGTTGGGAATTCCCTAGTAAAAGAAGAATAAATAATAATAATAATAATAAGGATGTAGGCCTGGTTTTGTGTGGTGGTGATGTGACTGAGGTGATGATTTGACTCATAGTTATGGTTTGTTAGTAGCTTTTTGTCATGTGCTCGTCGTATGTTGTACCAGCACTTACCCTGTGTCCCATACTTCAGTCGTTTCAATTTTTTGAGGGGGGGGGGGCATATTTGAGGCGTACCCTATTCCAAGATGTAGCCGGGCCGTAAGTTGAGCAACGAATCGTTTTGCATGGTTGTTGTGGACCCCAAAGGAAACATACTTTGAAACATTTGATAAGTATTTCGGTGGGATGGGAATGTACAATGGGAGGCACATTGAACTGTGCAGCAACGGCACTAAAGCCGGTCCAGTGAAAGAATAACACATACAGGGTTTCAGGCACTGGTACTCGGTTCTTTCGTCGTGTACTGCAACTAAGTTTCACAATACATCTCATTATCCTTAGCTACAAGCACAAGTCATACCAGTCATTATCACCTTCACAGTACAGTCTGTACTGACCATAGCCTACTCTTTATATTTCAGCGTTTTCATCATCATATCACATGTATCACTACATCATCATATCACATGTATCACATCATCATCATATCTAATGTATCACATCATCATCATATCTAATGTATCACATCATCATCATATCTAATGTATCACATCATCATCATATCTAATGTATCACATCATCATCATATCTAATGTATCACATCATCATCATATCACATTTATCACATCATCATCATATCTAATGTATCACATCATCATCATAATTATCACATTTATCACATCATCATCATATCTAATGTATCACATCATCATCATATCTAATGTATCACATCATCATCATATCTAATGTATCACATCATCATCATATCTAATGTATCACATCATCATCATATCTAATGTATCACATCATCATCATATCACATTTATCACATCATCATCATATCTAATGTATCACATCATCATCATATCACATGTATAATGTGTATGCATGCATGTACACCACGGACAACTACATACCGGTACTAATAATAATTCTCCACGCCGACTCTTTAAATAATAATAATAATAGTAATAATAACAATTGTGAAAAGAAGAAGGACAAAATGTTACAAGTTATGACTAACTATCCACCAACGTAACCAGATCTTATACAGTCAGCGAGTGCAACAAAATGGCACAAAACTGACAAGGAGTACTGAGACATTCGGCGACCTGACACCTAGCTCCAATACTTCTCCAAGGCGCAAACCAACAACCTTCCAACTTGGAAGGCTCATGTTCGGAAAGGTCCAAGAGGGGAAGGAAAGCGCAACGCAATGTCAGTTTTGTGCCATTTTGTCGCACTCACTGACTGTATAAGATCTGGTTACTTTGGTGGACAGTTAGTCATAACTTGTAACATTTTGTCTTTCTTCTTTTCACAATTATTTGATTGGCTCACCATCCGAATAATAACAATAATAATAATAATAATAATAATAATAATAATAATAATAATGCACGTCAGGAGAGGAAAACCAGATGAAGGATGCTCTATCCAGGTTGGCGATGAGACCATTGCAGAGTCGCTACGACTCAATGAAACATACAAGTACCTTGGAGTAGTGCAAGCAGCCATGATACCTCACCCGAAGCTCAAGACGCAACTCACTGCAGAATACAAAAAGAGATTGTATTTGCTTCTTAACAGTGGATTGAATGCGCGAAACATGATCAAGGCCATCAATACGTATGCTCTGCCGGTTATGACATATAGTTATGGAATCGTAAATTGGACCGAGGCTGAAATCAAGACCACAGATCGAGTGACAAGATCAGCCTTGACTGCGTCTGGATTTCACCACCCCAAAGCCTCAGTCAACAGGCTCTACATGAAGAGGGGAGATGGAGGCCGGGGCTTGGTCTCTTGTGAGGATATGCACGGCCGGAGCATGTGTGGCCTGGCCCGCTACATGAGTACCAGCCCAATAGACAGAATAAGCCTGCTTTATCAGTATCATCAACAAAAACCTACAACAAAAAGCCACTCAATAACTGCAAAGGCCGCTAAGTTCCTGTCGAGTTTGGATCTGCCAGCAGCTGGACCAGCTTTACCCAATAAGCATACCATTAAACAAGCGTGCGCTGAGCGAAAATCCAAAACACTTTCCACTATGCCGCTGCATGGGAGATATTGGAGCCGATTGGAGGAGAATCGCCTAGATAAGGAGCTTACCTTCATGTGGTTGAAATCAAGGACACTGAAACCTTCAACTGAAGGCATGATTATGGCAGCACAAGACCAATCCCTCAAAACGAAAAATTACCAATACGCCATAATGAAGTCAATTCCTCGAACTGATGCCAATTGCAGGCTTTGCAAGGGCAGCTTAGAAACAATTGACCACATTGTCAGTGCCTGCCCAGTTCTTGCTCGGACCAGTTACATTGAACGACATAACCGGATAGTAAAGTATGTGCACTTCGAAATGTGTAAAGCACGAGATCTACCTACTGGTGCTTCACGATTCGACCACCAGCTCAAGGCATTGGTCAAGAGTAATCAGTATCGCCTCTATTGGGAGTATTCGGTCCCAACTGACCTGAAACTATCAGCAAACAGGCCCGATCTGCTCCTTGTTGATGACAAGGAGCGCATCGCCTACATTATAGACATCAGCGTTCCTGGTGAGAACAACATCAATAAGAAAATGGCTGAAAAGCGCTCGAAATATTATGATTTGAAGCGGGAGATTTCGAGGATTTGGTCCCTCAACCAGGTTGACGTGGTCCCTGTGGTTGTCGGTGCCCTGGGAGGCTTGGTGGGGGAGACTCCTCAATGCCTTCGGACTGTGCAGGGAGGAGACCTGGCTATTGTGCAACAGGAGGCTATACAAGGTTCGATTAAAATACTGAGAACTATCCTTAACATGTAGATGCACCTCTGCTGCGTTTGCATGTTCAATAGCTAAGAGACTTGAATAACGACTGATAAAGACTGATATTTCCTTTGTTACTACTCCCTTCATTGGTTGATGTATTTTGCCTGTCGCTGCAAATTCTTTATTATTGTTTTGATGTTGGAGTTCGGATTGAGTTTCTTTCCTTTCTTCCTCTTCCTTCAACTAGTTCTTGTCCCTTTGGTTTTTAGGTTTTATTTATTTATTTATTTTTGTTTTTGTTTTTTCACTTTCTTTTTGCTGTCCCACCCATGGAAATATTTCCCGGTGGGTCTGGCTTATCGCCTTCGAAAGAAGTGAATAAAGGAGAAATAATAATAATAATAATAACACAGATACGCGTACAACATGCACAGCCGTGCTGTACATGCTTCCGCTGCTGTTGTCTAGCTCTGTCCAATATATGTATGTCAATATCCGCCAGTTGTGGCGACTCCTTCAGATTATCTGCCGCCATCCATTATACTAAGAAGGCGATAATGACTGGTATTGATTTGTGCTTGTAGCTGAGGATAATGAGATGTATTGTGAAACTTAGTTCTAGTACACGTAGCAAGAACCGAGTACCAGTGCCTGAAACCCTGCATGTGTTATTATTACACTGTCCATGTATGTGTTATTATTACACTGTCCATGTATGTGTTTTTATTACACTGTCCGCTTGCTGAATAGTTTGTATAGCTGTATAGTTACCACCGCTTTAGGAGCTGCACCGGTGCCTTGATCCCAGAGGCTGGTGGCATTTCTACGCACCGGTGCCTTGATCCCAGAGGGTGGTGGCATTTCTACGCACCGGTGCCTTGATCCCAAAGGGTGGTGGCATTTCTACGGATGCGCAAAACTTGGCCTCAAGCCGAGTCTGACGCGAACCGTGATTTTTTTCCCCGTAGAGTTCCATGTGACTACCATGGTACATTCCCGTGCCACCGAAATACTCTTATCAAATGTTGCAAAGTATGCTTCTTTTGGGGTCTACAACAACCATGCAAAATGATTCGTAGCTCAACTTACAGCCTGGCTACACCTTGGAATCGGGGTACGCCTCAAAATACCCCCCCCCCCCCGAACCCAAAAAAACAACAAAATAACTTTGAAACGACTGAAGTAAATGCTGGTACAACATCCGACCAGCACATGACAAAAGCTAAAAACAAACCATAATTATGAGTGAAATCACCACCTCAGTCACATCACCACCACACAAAACCAGGCCTACATCCTGGAAGGCAATAGCCATCATGTGCAGACTTCAATGGACTGCATCACAAAATTGCCAAAATTCAAGCGCCCCAACAGGAATAAGTTACACTCACACCTGGTTTATCCAGGGTGGTCCGGGACCGAGCACTGCCCGTAACTTTGAAATGTCTGTAACTCTGAGTCATGTACATCTTGATGGGGAAAGGCTATAGATATGGCACATGATGTCACTATTTCCACGAAAAGTGACAAAAGAGTAGTAATATTTCAACCGAAACTCGTCCAAAGGGTGCCCGGTAGACCGAAGTGCCCGTGACTTCGGTCTCCGGACAACTGAGGTATCAGTGTATGGCTCATACTTTCTGAACCATGCACTGCAAGATAGTGAACATCTTGGGTGTGTTCCAGGTTTTCCTGAAAATATATTAATTTTACCTACCCGATGACGGAAAGCACTTCATCAAGCTCCAACAACAGGCACCACACCAGACGCTTGTATGCCAAACCTTGCAGCCTGGTCACCTCTATGCAGTCTAACAAGACATCTGCACAAACATCCTGCGTCACTCAAAATACAATACATCCTCTCCGAAGTGACTCGAGTTTCACCAGCAGCAATGCTTTGTTGGAGTCCAAAAGGTATTGAACAAATCCCGATTAGTGTGATCTCATTGATTTGGGAAGATCAGTCAAACTCGCTATTCTACTATGACACATGGTCAGTGCAGGCCCTGCAGCACCGCTCTCATGACGCAAGAGTGTCACGCTTGACTTCGGTCATACTGTCAGGATATGTGGCCCCAGAGAGGATATGCTTGCTGTTTGGAGTGACAAGGACTGTCTGTGCATGTTTTGTTAGACTGCTTAGAGGTGACCATGCTGCAGTGTTTGGCATACAGGTCTCTAGCGTGATGCCTGTTATTGGAGCTTGAGGAAGCGCTGTCCGTCAACGGATACCGATAGGTAATTGGCCCTGTTGTTAGTGTACTTCCGTAGTACCGGTATGAATATGTAGCAAAGTGAAAATATTCAAAATAGTTTCAAGTACATGTACAGTGCCTTCGTCGTGAGTCCAGGGACTACAGTATTTCATTGATAATTTCGTAAAGGCTTATTTCGCGGTAAGGAAGGGAAGGCCGGTGAGCACCACTGCTGATTGGCCATACACATGGTCCACTCTTGTCCTCACTCAACGTCAATAAATTTTAATTTACCTTGAGCAGTAGAACAGAGGTCGTCAGCACATAACGTATTCCGCGAGTTTCTCCGTTATGGGCAAATACGACGGCCCACAAGCCTAGTGCCACAGCTCCAGAAGACAGCTTGAGTTATTTGCCACTGCTCGCGTGCTGACAGCAGTAAAAATAATTCTCTCCTCCTTGCTTGTCAAATAATATTCCAAACATTGCTCAAGTATTTGCCAGGAAAGAAGCTGACTAGGCCACACCGGGAGGAGAGGGGTGTTTGTATCGGGAATTTCACTCGAAGCTCTTGGAAACTAAACCAGTTAAAAAGCTCTTGCAAACTAAACCAGTTAAAGCTTGCTTGAACCAACACCGCGGCTAGAACGCAAGACCAAAAGCAAGAAGATAATGAGAACAGGAGAAAAGCAAGCAAGTAGAAGTATGATTGTGCCGAGTAAAAGTTAAAATCATTAATTCGCGGTGCACATATCATCCGCGCGAACATGATGTCACACGTACACGCACCTACTCAGCTACTGTAAAAGCAGACATTTTCGGTGGTGTCTATTTTCGGTAACGTCGGTGCTGACAATTTTTACCCAAAATAAAACGCACCGAAAATTTCGGTACTACCTGTACTGTATACATGCAGAACTAGTACACTTACCTGGAAAACGGGTTTTACCGAAAATTTCCCTCCACCGAACCGCCGATTTTGGAGAATACCGAAAATATTACACCACCGAAAATTTCTGCTTTTACAGTATGTAGACTACGTGCAGATATCGTGGTCTTTGTGGTCCACTAAGGACTCCACTTTCACAACAATAACACAAACATGCACAGAAGTCTCTGCTAGCTGCTGTGAGCACGGTGGCTCGGCAACGGCTTTATTTATTGATATTATTATAATACTATCTCTTTCCTGATTTTTCTTCTTCTTTTTTTCCTTGCATAATTGTATGCATAGAGCCTGGTAAGAAAAAAATATGTACAAGACACTGCTGCTACTGTAGTCCCACAGCAAAACACACAGAAAACGACAAAATGTTACAATGAATTGTAACAACAACCGTCCATGCTAAAGGACCTATATCCCTGCCCAAGGACGGCATCTCTAAATCTCCACACATTGACCACACGGTCATCATCCAGCTTCAGTTCAATCACTGTATTCTTCCCCTGCAGACTCCCCCCCCCCCCCCTGTCACTATACTAGCCATACATTCTGAAGCTGTATGTAACCACGGCATACAATGGCCCACGACGCACACCTCCCCTATTGTAGTCTTCGGGGTGCTGAGTCGAATGGTCTTGGTCCGAGGAAGCTGAGACGCTCCCTTCCTACTTGAATCCCAATCGAACTCGCGCACTTCCACCGAAACTGGGTGACTGCGCCCTACTAGATGGGGATTTGTATGCAAAATGTCACTAAAAGCGCCATTGCGTTCTTATAAAAGCACGGATGACCGCGATTGGCCCATATGTTGTACTCTTTTGGACGCTGAGTCGACTGGTTTTGGTCCGAAAAGGCTGCGATGCAGCGTTCCTCCTTTATTCCCAATCGAACATGGTCGAACAAGTGGTCACGTGCTGCTGCGTACACCAGTCACCTGGTCACCGTGCCTGCAGGGTACAACTTACTAGCCTGTTTGACCTTTTTTGGGTGCAGTCCTGTCACTCGAGTTGAACTCGAGTTGAACCTTGGTGTGAAAGTTGTCGCCTGCTGGCGTGGTGACCAGGTGATTTGGGCACCCAGGAGCACGTGACCGCTTGTTCAACCATGTTCGATTGGGAATAAAGGAGGAACGCTGCATCGCAGCCTTTTCGGACCAAAACCAGTCGACTCAGCATCCAAAAAAGTACAACATATGGGCCAATCGCGGTCATCCGTGCTTTAATAAGAACGAAATGGCGCTTTTAGTGACATTTTGCATACAAATCCCCATCTAGTAGGGCGCAGTCACCCAGTTTCGGTGGAAGTGCGCGAGTTCGATTGGGATTCAAGTAGGAAGGGAGCGTCTCAGCTTTCTCGGACCAAGACCATTCGACTCAGCACCCGGTACCCCGAAGACTACAACTGGTGAAATTTTAATTTTTGCCTTAACTTCCCCTTTAACTAAGAAAGAAAAGCAGTCGTAACTGCCACAGCCACATGGCCAATATTGGCAATAAGAAAACCAATTAGATATATCGATAAACACACACCCAGAAGTCAGGGATGGGAGGGTGGGAGACTAACTGCACCAACAATAAGCCACTGCGAAGTGACAGGAATGTGGTCCAGCACAACATTTTTGCTGAAGCAAAAAGTTGCGGGAAAATCCCAAAATCGATGCGATTTTGCATGAGCCCCACTGTTCAAGTTACCCACAAAGACACAAGCGTTCCAACTCTCTTTGGCCGTTGGAAAGCGTACCTTCTCTGCATGTGGCACGTGCTCGGCAACAAGATTCAAGATTTCAAACTGCATCATTTTTTTGTCTTTTGAGGTGGATTGCAGGGTAAATCTAGAAAGACGTTGAAAATCAATATCATTACTGAGATATTCCTAAGACTGAGGGTATGACAAATAATTAGTTTGATATAACGGGTGATTTGGTCCGGTGAAGTGGCCGTTGGCCTTTGGCCTTTGGAGTTTGGTACAGTCATGTAGATTTGTAGAAGTAGACCGGTCACACATTCACACAGATCGGATGCGCTGACTGTAACATTGGACTTTGAGTTTTGACTTCCGTTCGGCGACGTGAAGGCCGGATCCCAAATGGACTCGCTCTCGCCCTGCATGGCACTGCAGTTATATAATTATTATTACTAGCTCGTCCGCATGCTGCAGATCTACTCTCTAGACCAGGGAGTCGTAAGGGCTTTTACGACTCCCTGCTCTAGACTAGTCTAGAGTCTCTACACGACAGCTGTCACGCCTGGGTTTCGTGCGGGCGCACTGAGTTTGTACTGTGGCACTGCACTCACTCACTCACGCCGGCATGAACTCTGGTCTCGTAGATCTACACAACGGTACAGGCACTGCCCAAGCGCAGGTTGAAACCAGGGAGTTTGTATGACTCCCTGGTCGAAACTATGTGACTGCGCTGTTACTGAGTGCGTTGCCTGCGAGTAGGGTTGTCTCCTCCTCGTCCTGCGAGCACAACCACACTGTGGTTCTCGGTCGAGATTTCACTTGCTTGTGTCCAGTGGAATCTGTCTAACAAAACACACTCATTCTCAATGTTGTCTTTCCACACGGAAGACCATGCAATAAAGAAAATATGGTGTCCCAAACGACGATTCCATACGTCCTTCCACCTGTTCCACAGCACCGCTCTATGTCAGTATGTACGTGTGTATGCGCCGGCATCTGGCGAAACGCGAAGAGGACAAACTGATGTATACAGTATACATGGTATAGGGCAAGTCACATAGTGAAGCCCGGAACCAGGGCGGCCCTCAGTTTCATCCAGTTCCAACCAGTTTCGCCCAGTTCCAACCAGTTTCACCCAGTTCTAACTGGTCTCGGCAGGTTTGCACCGGTTTCAACGGATTATCGCGCCAATTAGGGCTAAGTACGCATGCGCCGTATACCAAGTAGCACAGCATCTTCTTGACTTGATTCAGAGAAGTAGTTTGTACATTTGTTTGATCATCGCCTGGATCCATGAGAGCCTCTTTCAATGTGACTAATGCCGCTAGACCAGACACAAGAAGTGCATCAACTTACCATTTCAATGGTAGGCTTGCTAGAGAAATAATACCCAGAGAAGCGAGGTCGTTGACGTCTGAATTGATATCAGGAAAAAAAGGCAGCAATGGATAGCGGGTGGTCGTGGATGCGAAAAAAAGATACCAGTAAGTCGTTTCGGCTCGATAGATCAATTCTAAATATTTTATTCCTTGAAATTTGTAACGATTAGGCAAGCCTAGGACCTGCAAACCCAGTGTTTCGGGGCGTGTGCTACTTTCCTGTAAACGGACAGCCAGTCTTCCATTCAACCTAACTCCTTCAAGGGAAGTGTGGGGCTCTGATATGCTTGACAATGTAGGGCAGCCTTGTGATTACACATACGCGGTGATTCGGTCCATGTATTGCTGGGTATTGAGCTTTGAGTCAGTCTTCCATTCAACCTAACTCCTTCAAGGGAAGTGTGGGGCTCTGGTATGCTTGACAATGTGGGGCAGCCTTGTGATAACACATACCTGGTGATTCGGGCCATGTACCACTTAGCAGTCTGCTATGAGTCAGTCTTGCATTCAACCTCACTCCTTCAAGGGAAGTGTGGGGCTCTGATATGCTTGACAATGTGGGCCAGCCTTGTGATTACACATACCCGGTGATTCGGACCGTGTACCACTTGGCAGTCAGCTATGAGTCGGTCTTGCTCTCAACCTCAACCCTTCGAGGGAAGTGTGGGGCTCTGATATGATTGACAATGTAGGGCAGCCTCGTGATCACAAACCCGGTGATTCGGTCCATGTATTGCTGGGTATTAAGCTTTGAGTCAGTCTTACATTCAACCTCACTCCTTCAAGGGAAGTGTGGGGCTCTGTTTATTTGGCTATGTGGGGCAGCCTCGTGATCACAAACCCGGTGATTCGAGCCATGTATTACTTGGCTTTGAGCTATGATTCAGTCTTGCATTCAACCTCACTCCTTCAAGGGAAGTGTGAGGCTCTGATATGCTTGACAATGTGGGCCAGCCTTGTGATTACACATACCCGGTGATTCGGGCCGTATATTACTTGGCATTGAGCTATGAGTCAGTCTTGCATTCAACCTCACTCCTTCAAGGGAAGTGTGGGGCTCTGATATGCTTGACAATGTGGGCCAGCCTTGTGATTACACATACCCGGTGATTCGGACCGTGTACCACTTGGCAGTCAGCTATGAGTCGGTCTTGCTCTCAACCTCAACCCTTCGAGGGAAGTGTGGGGCTCTGATATGATTGACAATGTAGGGCAGCCTCGTGATCACAAACCCGGTGATTCGGTCCATGTATTGCTGGGTATTAAGCTTTGAGTCAGTCTTACATTCAACCTCACTCCTTCAAGGGAAGTGTGGGGCTCTGTTTATTTGGCTATGTGGGGCAGCCTTGTGATAACACATACCCGGTGATTTGGGCCGTGTACCACTTGGCAGTCTGCTATGAGTCAATCTTGCTCTCAACCTCACTCCTTCAAGGGAAGTGTGGGGCTCTGATATGCTTGACAATGTGGTTCAGCCTTGCGATTACACATACCCTGTGATTCGGGCCGTGTATTGTTTGGCATTGAGCTATGATTCACTCTTGCATTCAACCTCACTCCTTCAAGGAAAGTGTGGGGCTCTGATATGCTTCACAATGTGGTTCAGCCTTGCGATTACACATACCCGGTGATTCGGGCCGTGTATTAATTGGCATTGAGCTATGAGTCACTCTTGCGTTCAACCTCACTCCTTCAAGGGAAGTGTGGTGCTCTGATATGCTTGACAATGTGGGGCAGCCTTGTGATCAGATACCCGGTGATTCGGGCTACGTATTGCTTGGCAGTGAGCTGTGAGTTTTGCATTCAACCTCACTCCTTCAAGGGAAGTGGGGGGCTCTGACAAGCTTGACAATTATGGGCAGCCTTGTGATTACACATACCCGCTGATTCGGTGTGTCCGTTATCTGACAATGGAATGAGTCTCCACTCGCATTCAGCCTCATTCCTATAATGTCTATCTTGAGGTTCTCGTATGCTTTGCAATGTGGGGCAATGTTGTGACACCGAACGCAGTGATTCAAAATTTCTGTGGACATGGCAAGGAATGAGCAGAGAGACGGAACTAACAGCATCCATTCCATGGTTGTATGTTACTTCATGATGGATGATGAGGTTTTAACGACAATGGCCTTTGTCGCTCATGTTGAGAATGAGGTGTAAATCCTCTGACATTTTGAAGTGAAGGATTATGAGTACTATCCCGAGCAATCCTCGCACCTCAGTAGTGCACTTCAATGAAAGTGGAGGGGCTCTGATATCCTTGATAACGGGGTGAAGACTTGGGACTACATACCCCGTGATTCGTGGCGTCTGTTACTAGCAAAGAGCGACGAGTTAGACTTGCATTTGAACTCAGTACTTCAAGGAAAGTGTGGTGCTCTGATGTGCTTGACGTTGTCGGCAGCCTTGTGATAACACAGACCCGGTGATTCGGGCCGTTTATTACTTGGAATTGAGCTATCACTCAGTCTTGCATTCAACCTCACTCCTTCAAGGGAAGTGTGGGGCTCTGATATGCTTGACAATGTGGGTCAGCCTTGCGATTAAACATTCTCCTTCAAGGGAAGTGTGGGGCTCTGATAAGCTTGAAAATGAGAGGCAGCCTTGTGATCAGATACCTGGTGATTCGGGCTACGTATTGCTTGGCAGTGAGCTATGAGTTTTGCATTCAACCTCACTCCTTCAAGGGAAGTGTGGGGCTCTGATATGCTTGACAATGTGGGGCAGCCTTGTGAAAACACATACCCGGTGATTCGGGCCGTGTATTCCTTGGCAGTGAGCTATGAGTCAGTCTTCCATTCAACCTCACTCCTCGAAGAGAAGTGTTGCCCGGTGATGTGCTTGACCATGTCGGTAAGTCTAGTGACTGCATACCCGCTGATTCGGAGTGTCCGTTATTTGGCAATGGAATGAGTCTTTCTCGCATTCAGCCTCATTCCTATAATGTCTATCTTGAGGTTCTCGTATGCTTTGCAATGTGGGGCAATGTTGTGACTCCGAACGCAGTGATTCAAAATACGTTGGACATGGCAAGGAATGAGCAGAGAGACGAACTAGCAGCATCCATTCCATGGTTATATGTTACTTCATGATGGATGATGAGGTTTTAAGGACAATGGCCTTTGTCCCTCATGTTGAGAATGAGGTGTAAATATTCTGGCATTTTGAAGTGAAGGATTATGAGTACTATCCCGAGCAATCCTCGCACCTCAGTAGTGCACTTCAATGAAAGTGGAGGAGCTCTGATATCCTCGATAACGGGGTGAAGACTTGGGACTACATACCCCGTGATTCGTGGCGTCTGTTACTAGCAAAGAGCGACTAGTTAGACTTGCATTTGAACTCAGTACTTCAAGGAAAGTGTGGTGCTCTGATGTGCTTGACGTTGTCGGCAGCCTTGTGATAACACATACCCGGTGATTCGGGCCGTGTATCGCTTGGCAGTGAGGTATGAGTCAGTCTTGCATTCAACCTCACTCCTTCAAGGGAAGTGTGGGGCTCTGATATGCTTGAAAATGTGGGGCAGCCTTGCGAGCACAAACCCGGTGATTCGGGCCGTGTATTACTTGGTATTGAGCTATCAGCCAGTCTTCCATTCAACCTCACTCCTTCAAGGGAAGTGTGGGGCTCTGATAAGCTTGACAATGTGGGCCAGCCTTGTGATCACAAAACCGGTGATTCGGGCTATGTATTGCTGGGCATTCAGCTTTGAGTCAGTTTTACAACAAACCTCACTCCTTCAAGAGAAGTGTGGGGCTCTGTTTACTAGCAGAAGCATAACATCCGAGAACAGCAGCATAACATCTTGAGCATGTATATTGTATCTGTGTTTACACTGTAGTTGATGACAATGGACTTGGTTTGTGTCTTATGTTCCATCTCTGCTGCAGACTAACTGCACTGTTCGAAGTCTGATGTCTTCATAGACATCTTCTTATCCTGTGCTGAGTGAAGGCCAGTCTGCCAATTCAACTTCAACATTTAAGGTACTATCAAGAGTACATATACAAGATTGTGCAATTCCGCTTGGTTTGGACCATGGCATAATATTTGTTTTGTTACGACAGCAGCCTGGTCGTAAATTTCATATGGCATTGAATTGACCGTAACTTTGGTGTCTCTCAATGGATTTGAGTGAAATTTTCACCACACACTCCTGCCACTATGCTGGCCCTCTGGACATGATTTAAAAGTTCTTGCGCCTCACTGACAGGCTTTCCAGGCCGGAAAAACTCAAAATTCCGGCATAGTGCCACGGTGTGCGAGCCACCCAGGAGCCAAAAAATGCATTTACAATTTTTTTCACATTTTCTTGCCCATTGTGTCCGTGCGCGGATCCAAACCTAAAAAAAGTCCAGAAGCAGCCATGGGTGGTGGGATAGGGCCCTTCAACGTGGCCCTGGAATCTGTCACAACGGCAGGAGTGGGCGTTGTTTCACAGACTCCCACAAACCCAAGTCATTTTTGGATTTTTTTTGGTTTAGGGTGTGCTACGAGGTCGTACCTTTGATACAACATCCAGTGCTGGAACCTCCACAGCAAGCCATTTCCAAAGCGCTGCAAACCGAATTCAGGATACCCTCAAAAATCGGCAAAGACTTCCACTCACGTTCCACTACTGCCTAGTACGGAATCCTATCTGACTTCTTGACACGACTCAAACTTGCCAAAGTCACTAAATCAACGTCAACTACAATAATCAAGCCACATATCTACAACGTCACGAGGGTGTTGGCAAAATTCCTGCTGCACGGCGGCGGGTGAAGCCGTGCAGCTCAATACGTGGCTTAAAAACGTGATCTTTTGGACTTGGAGCAAAATTGTGCACACTTTCGCGTGTTTCTATGATACGACAAGTTGCGCACGGTCTGCTCACATTCAAATACAGTGCTGCCAACAAATGACAGCGTGCAAATCTTTCCTTACAAGGGCACATTTTCGGCCATAACTCTTGCGGCTGGTGAGATCGAGACAAAAGTTCCAGAGATTTTGCAGCTGTTCATGCTCTTTCAACTGATGTAGTCCTCGATATGAATTCACAAATTCGATTTTTCAGGGATTTTACGACCAGGCTGCCCCCTTAATGTCAAGTTTTCTGGAGATCATGAGGGTACTGCATGTGCCATGTACTACGAGTCTGTGGCCGTGTGGACTTAGTGCGAACAAGTACAGCGCCAACAAGTACAGCGCCAACAAGTACAGTGCAAACAAGCACAGTGCGAACAATTACAGTGCGAACAAGTACAGCGCCAACAAGTACAGCGCCAACAAGTACAGTGCAAACAAGCACAGTGCGAACAAGTACAGCGCAAACAAGTACAGGGCGAACAAGTACAGCGCAAACAAGTACAGCGCAAACAAGTACAGCGCAAACAAGTACAGTGCGAACAAGTACAGCGCCAACAAGTACAGCGCGAACATATACAGTGCGAACAAGTACAGCGCGAACAAGTACAGCGCAAACAAGTACAGCGCGAACAAGTACAGCGCGAACAAGTACAGCGCGAACAAGTACAGCGCGAACAAGTAAAGCGCGAACAAGTACAGCGCGAACAAGTACAGCGCGAACAAGTACAGCGCGAACAAGTACAGCGCGAACAAGTACAGCGCGAACAAGTACAGCGCGAACAAGTACAGTGCGAACAAGTACAGCGCAAACAAGTACAGTGCGAACAAGTACAGCGCAAACAAGTACAGCGCAAACAAGTACAGCGCAAACAAGTACAGCGCAAACAAGTACAGCGCAAACAAGTACAGTGCAAACAAGTACAGTGCGAACAAGTACAGTGCGAACAAGTGCAGTGCGAACAAGTACAGTGCGAACAAGTACCGTGCGAACAAGTACAGCGCGAACAAGAACAGTGCGAACAAGTACAGCGCAAACAAGTACAGCGCGAACAAGTACAGCGCGAACAAGTACAACGCGAACAAGTACAGTGCAAACAAGTACAGCGCGAACAAGTACAGTGCGAACAAGTACAGTGCGAACAAGTACAGTGCAAACAAGTACAGTGCGAACAAGTACAGCGCAAACAAGTACAGCGCAAACAAGTACAGCGCAAACAAGTACAGCGCAAACAAGTACAGTGCGAACAAATACAGTGCGAACAAGTGCAGTGCGAACAAGTACAGTGCGAACATATACAGTGCGAACAAGTACAGTGCGAACAAGTACAGCGCGAACATCTATGTAGGACTCAGTATAGAGTCCATGCACTATAATGTCCAGCACCCTATATAGAGTCCATTGGTCCAAAATCCACTATACAGAGTCCAGGAGTCCACTCAGTTTTGATCAGCTTCATCCTGCCGCGCAATCCCCTAAGGAGTACACTTTTCTACAAGTCCCCTATTCACGGTCCAGGAGTCCAGTTTATCCAGTCACGCCGTTCTGTACTGTGTGTTGTGCCCGAAAGAGAACAAACACCTTTTCAGTTTTGCTTGCCTCGTGGCAGCGCATTCCTTTCTTCACTTCAGCCATGGCTGTCAGTTCTGCTGTGCAGTTGCTGACAGTAATCTGTCTCGAGGTAACCAAGGAGGATAAGGAGACGTTCCAAATCGTATCTGGAAAGCGTCTTGTGGTTCTCTGAAGACGTTTCAGCAGTGCGCGGGATGATAGCAGAAATTGCAGAACGAGAAAAGTTCAGCAAAGTTCAAATCGGACGAGTCAGGTACACTGACACTCTCTTTCGTTCGACGCCACAAAGATCCCCTGTTTGGCTGGCCATTGCTGCCAGTAAGACGTTTGAACGGTTTCATCAGAGCGAGGGATGAAAGCAGAAAGAGGAGAACGAGAAAAGTTCAGCACAGTTCCAATCTGACGCGTCAGATACACTGACAATTTAGCACTGCTGTGAATAGTTTATTCGCAAAGTGAAGAATCACCTGCAAAAGGGCCCAAAACTTCGAGATTGATTGATTTCAGCTTTGAGCAGACGTAGGCGAATTGTTTATTGAAATGTGGAATTTTTTCTTGGTGCACTTCCCTATGTCCAGCTATGCAACAAGATCAGGGAGGAGATGGCCAGTTGTTGAGCTTCGAACGGGCAGAAAGGTGAGAAATTGTCGCTTTTTGACCATTTGTGCCCACGTGTCACTTTCAACTCTACCTCTGTACAACATGACCCAGCTGTGATGTGAGTGGTCGCATTGATTTGATTTTTGGTTTGCTTGTAGGCCACTGGCACCCGCATTCAGCGACGCCGAAAATTTGGGACTGCTGTGAATAGTTTAGTCGCAAAGTGAAGAATCACGGGCAAAAGGGCCCAAAACTTCGAGATGGATTGATTTCAGCTTTGAGTAACCCTGGGGGAAATCTTTATTGAAGTTTGGAATTATTTCTTGGTGCACTTCCCTATGTCCAGCTGTACAAAAAGATCAGGGTGGCGATGGTCAGTTCTTGAGCTTCGAACAGGCAAAAAGGTGAGAAATTGTCGCGTTTTGACCATTTGTGCACACGTGTCACTTTCAACGTACCTATCTATAACATGACCCAGCTGTGATGTGAGTGGTCGCATTGATTTGATTTTTAGTTTGCTTATAGGCCGCTGTCACCCGCTGTTAGTGACGCTGAAAATTTGGCACTGCTGTGAATAGTTTAGTCGCAAAGTGAAGAATCACGGGCAAAAAGGCCAAAACTTCGAGACAGGTTGATATCAGCTTTGAGCAGCTCTGGGCGAAGTGTTTATTGAAATGGGGAAATTTTCTTGGTGCACTTCCCTATGTCCAGCTATGCAACAAGATCAGGAAGGAGATGGCCAGTTGTTGAGCTTCGAACGGGCAGAAAGGTGAGAAATTGTCGCGCTTTGACCATTTGTGCCCACCTGTCACTTTCAACTCTACCTCTGTACAACATGACCCAGCTGTGATGTGAGTGGTCGCATTGATTTGATTTTTGGTTTGCTGGTAGGCCGCTGGCACCCGCATTCAGTGACGCTGAAAATTTGGGACTGCTGTGAATAGTTTAGTCGCAAAGTGAAGAATCACGGGCAAAAAGGCCCAAAACTTCCAGATAGATAGATTTCAGCTTTGAGCAGCCCTGGGGGAAGTGTTTATTGAAATGTGGAATTTTTTCTTGGTCCACTTCCCTATGTCCAGCTATGCAACAAGATCAGGGTGGCGATGGTTAGTTCTTGAGCTTCGAACGGGCAGAAAGGTGAGAAATTGTTGCTTTTTGACCATTTGTGCCCACGTGTCACTTCCAGCGTACCTCTCTATAACATGACCCAGCTGGGATGTAAGTGGTCGCATTGATTTGATTTTTGGTTTGCTTGTAGGCCGCTGGCACCCGCATTCAGTGACGCCGAAAATTTAGCTCTGCTGTGAATAGTTTATTCGCAAAGTGAAGAATCACCTCTAAAAGGGCCCAAAACTTCGAGATTGATTGATTTCAGCTTTGAGCAGACGTAGGCGAGTTGTTTATTGAAATGTGGAATTTTTTCTTGGTGCACTTTCCTATGTCACACTATGCTACAAGATCAGGGTGGCGATGGTCAGTTCTTGTGCTTCGAACTGGCAGAAAGGTGAGAAATTGTCGCTTTTTGACCATTTGTGCCCACGTGTCACTTCCAACGTACCTCTCTATAACATGACCCAGGTGTGATGTGAGTGATCGCATTGATTTCATTTTTGGTTTACTTGTAGGCCGCTGGCACCCGCATTCAGTGACGCCGAAAATTTGGCACTGCTGTGAATAGTTTAGTCGCAAAGTGAAGAATCACGGGCAAAAAGGCCCAAAACTTCGAGACAGGTTGATATCAACTTTGAGCAGCTCTGGGCGAAGTGTTTATTGAAATGGGGAAATTTTCTTGGTGCACTTCCCTATGTCCAGCTATGCAACAAGATCAGGGAGGAGATGGCCAGTTGTTGAGCTTCGAACGGGCAGAAAGGTGAGAAATTGTCGCTTTTTGACCAGTTGTGCCCACGTGTCACTTTCAACTCTACCTCTGTACAACATAACCCAGCTGTGATGTGATTGGTCGCATTGATTTGATTTTTGGTTTACTTGTAGGCCGCTGGCACCCGCATTAAGTGACGCCGAAAATTTGGCACTGCTGTGAATAGTTTATTCGCAAAGTGAAGAATCACGGGCAAAAAGGCCCAAAACTTTGAGATAGATAGATATCAGCTTTGAGCAGCCCTGGGCGAAGTGTTTATTGAAATGTTGAATCTTTTCTTGGTGCTCTTTCCTATGTCCAGCTATGCAACAAGATCAAGGTGTCGATGGTCAGTTCTTGAACTTCGAACGGGCAGAAAGGTGAGAAATTGTCGCTTTTTGACCATTTGTGCCCACGTGTCACTTTCAACGTACCTCTGTATAACATGACCCAGCTGTGATGTGAGTGATCGCATTGATTTAATTTTTTGTTTACTTGTAGGCCGCTGGCACCCGCATTAAGCGACGCCGAAAATTTGGGACTGCTGTGAATAGTTTAGTCGCAAAGTGAAGAATCACCGGCAAAAGGGCCCAAAACTTCGAGATGGATTGACTTCAGCTTTGAGTAGCCCTGGGGGAAGTCTTTATTGAAGTTTGGAATTTTTTCTTGGTGCACTTCCCTATGCCCACCTGTACAAAAAGATGAGGGTGGCGATGGTCAGTTCTCGAGCTTCGAACTGGCAGAAAGGTGAGAAATTGTCGCTTTTTGACCATTTGTGCCCACGTTTCACTTTCAACTCTACCTCTGTACAACATGACCCAGCTGTGATGTGAGTGGTCGCATTGATTTGATTTTTGGTTTGCTTGTAGGCCACTGGCACCCGCATTCAGCGACGCCGAAAATTTGGGACTGTTGTGAATAGTTTAGTCGCAAAGTGAAGAATCACGGGCAAAAGGGCCCAAAACTTCGAGATGGATTGATTTCAGCTTTGAGTAACCCTGGGGGAAGTCTTTATTGAAGTTTGGAATTTGTTCTTGGTGCACTTCCCTATGTCCAGCTGTACAAAAAGATCAGGGCGGCGATGGTCAGTTGTTGAGCTTCGAACAGGCAGAAAGGTGAGAAATTGTCGCGTTTTGACCATTTGTGCACACGTGTTACTTTCAACGTACCTCTCTATAACATGACCCAGCTGTGATGTGAGTGGTCGCATTGATTTGATTTTTGGTTTACTTATAGGCCGCTGTCACCCACTGTTAGTGACGCCGAAAATTTGGCACTGCTGTGAATAGTTTATTCGCAAAGTGTTGAATCACGGGCCAAAAGGCCCAAAACTTTGAGATAGATAGATATCAGCTTTGAGCAGCCCTCGGCAAAATGTTTATTGAAATGTGGAATCTTTTCTTGGTGCACTTTCCTATGTCCAGCTGTGCAACAAGATCAGGGTGTCGATGGTGAGTTCTTGAGCTTCGAACGGGCAGAAAGGTGAGAAATTGTCGCTTTTTGACCATTTGTGCCAACGTGTCACTTCCAGCGTGCCTCTCTATAACATGACCCAGCTGGCATGTAAGTGGTCGCATTGATTTCATTTTTGGTTTGCTTGTAGGCCGCTGGCACCCGCATTCTGTGACGCCGAAAATTTAGCACTGCTGTGAATAGTTTATTCGCAAAGTGAAGAATCACCTGCAAAAGGGCCCAAAACTTCGAGATTGATTGATTTCAGCTTTGAGCAGACGTAGGCGAGTTGTTTATTGAAATGTGGAATTTTTTCTTGGTGCACTTCCCTATGTCCAGCTATGCAACAAGATCAGGGTGGCGATGGTCAGTTCTTGAGCTTCGAACTGGCAGAAAGGTGAGAAATTGTCGCTTTTTGACCATTTGTGCCCACGTGTCACTTCCAATGTACCTCTCTATAACATGACCCAGGTGTGATGTGAGTGATCGCATTGATTTAATTTTTGGTTTACTTGTAGGCCACTGGCACCCGCATTCAGTGACGTTGAAAATTTAGCACTGCTGTGAATAGTTTAGTCGCAAAGTGAAGAATCACAGGAAAAAGACCCCAAAACTTCGAGATGGATTGATTTCAGCTTTGTGCAGCCCTGGGCGAAGTGTTTATTGAAATGTGGAATTTTTTCTTGGTGCACTTCCCTATGTCCAGCTATGCAACAAGATCAGGGAGGAGATGGCCAGTTGTTGAGCTTCGAACGGGCAGAAAGGTGAGAAATTGTCGCTTTTTGACCATTTGTGCCCACGTGTCACTTTCAACTCTACCTCTGTACAACATGACCCAGCTGTGATGTGAGTGGTCGCATTGATTTGATTTTTGGTTTGCTTGTAGGCCACTGGCACCCGCATTCAGCGACGCCGAAAATTTGGGACTGTTGTGAATAGTTTAGTCGCAAAGTGAAGAATCACGGGCCAAAAGGGCCAAAACTTCGAGATATATAGATTTCAGCTTTGAGCAGCCCTGGGGGAAGTGTTTATTGAAGTTTGGAATTTGTTCTTGGTGCACTTCCCTATGTCCAGCTGTACAAAAAGATCAGGGCGGCGATGGTCAGTTGTTGAGCTTCGAACAGGCAGAAAGGTGAGAAATTGTCGCGTTTTGACCATTTGTGCACACGTGTCACTTTCAACGTACCTCTCTATAACATGACCCAGCTGTGATGTGAGTGGTCGCATTGATTTGATTTTTGGTTTGCTTATAGGCCGCTGTCACCCGCTGTTAGTGACGCCGAAAATTTGGCACTGCTGTGAATAGTTTAGTCGCAAAGTGAAGAATCACGGGCAAAAAGGCCCAAAACTTCGAGATAGATAGATTTCAGCTTTGGGCAGCCCTGGGGGAAGTGTTTATTGAATGTGGAATTTTTTCTTGGTCCACTTCCCTTTGTCCAGCTATGCAACAAGATCAGGGTGGCGATGGTCAGTTCTTAAGCTTCGAACGGGCAGAAAGGTGAGAAATTGTCGCTTTTTGACCATTTGTGCCCACGTGTCACTTCCAGCGTGCCTCTCTATAACATAACCCAGCTGGGATGTAAGTGGTCGCATTGATTTCATTTTTGGTTTGCTTGTAGGCCGCTGGCACCCGCATTCAGTGACGCCGAAAATTTGGCACTGCTGTGAATAGTTTATTCGCAAAGTGTTGAATCACGGGCCAAAAGGCCCAAAACTTTGAGATAGATAGATATCAGCTTTGAGCAGCCCTCGGCAAAATGTTTATTGAAATGTGGAATCTTTTCTTGGTGCACTTTCCTATGTCCAGCTATGCAACAAGATCAGGGTGTTGATGGTCAGTTCTTGAGCTTCGAACGGGCAGAAAGGTGAGAAAGTGTCGCTTTTTGACCATTTGTGCACACGTGTCACTTTCAACGTACCTCTCTATAACATGACCCAGCTGTGATGTGAGTGATCGCATTGATTTAATTTTTGGTTTACTTGTAGGCCGCTGGCACCCGCATTCAGCGACGCCGAAAATTTGGGACTGCTGTGTATAGTTTAGTCGCAAAGTGAAGAATCACGGGCAAAAGGGCCCAAAACTTCGAGATGGATTGATTTCAGCTTTGAGTAGCCCTGGGGGAAGTCTTTATTGAAGTGTGGAATTTGTTCTTGGTGCACTTCCCTATGTCCAGCTGTACAAAAAGATCAGGGCGGCGATGGTCAGTTGTTGAGCTTCGAACAGGCAGAAAGGTGAGAAATTGTCGCGTTTTGACCATTTGTGCACACGTGTTACTTTCAACGTACCTATCTATAACATGACCCAGCTGTGATGTGAGTGGTCGCATTGATTTGATTTTTGGTTTACTTATAGGCCGCTGTCACCCACTGTTAGTGACGCCGAAAATTTGGCACTGCTGTGAATAGTTTATTCGCAAAGTGTTGAATCACGGGCCAAAAGGCCCAAAACTTTGAGATAGATAGATATCAGCTTTGAGCAGCCCTCGGCAAAATGTTTATTGAAATGTGGAATCTTTTCTTGGTGCACTTTCCTATGTCCAGCTGTGCAACAAGATCAGGGTGTCGATGGTCAGTTCTTGAGCTTCGAACGGGCAGAAAGGTGAGAAATTGTCGCTTTTTGACCATTTGTGCCAACGTGTCACTTCCAGCGTGCCTCTCTATAACATGACCCAGCTGGCATGTAAGTGGTCGCATTGATTTCATTTTTGGTTTGCTTGTAGGCCGCTGGCACCCGCATTCTGTGACGCCGAAAATTTAGCACTGCTGTGAATAGTTTATTCGCAAAGTGAAGAATCACCTGCAAAAGGGCCCAAAACTTCGAGATTGATTGATTTCAGCTTTGAGCAGACGTAGGCGAGTTGTTTATTGAAATGTGGAATTTTTTCTTGGTGCACTTCCCTATGTCCAGCTATGCAACAAGATCAGGGTGGCGATGGTCAGTTCTTGAGCTTCGAACTGGCAGAAAGGTGAGAAATTGTCGCTTTTTGACCATTTGTGCCCACGTGTCACTTCCAATGTACCTCTCTATAACATGACCCAGGTGTGATGTGAGTGATCGCATTGATTTAATTTTTGGTTTACTTGTAGGCCACTGGCACCCGCATTCAGTGACGTTGAAAATTTAGCACTGCTGTGAATAGTTTAGTCGCAAAGTGAAGAATCACAGGAAAAAGACCCCAAAACTTCGAGATGGATTGATTTCAGCTTTGTGCAGCCCTGGGCGAAGTGTTTATTGAAATGTGGAATTTTTTCTTGGTGCACTTCCCTATGTCCAGCTATGCAACAAGATCAGGGAGGAGATGGCCAGTTGTTGAGCTTCGAACGGGCAGAAAGGTGAGAAATTGTCGCTTTTTGACCATTTGTGCCCACGTGTCACTTTCAACTCTACCTCTGTACAACATGACCCAGCTGTGATGTGAGTGGTCGCATTGATTTGATTTTTGGTTTGCTTGTAGGCCACTGGCACCCGCATTCAGCGACGCCGAAAATTTGGGACTGTTGTGAATAGTTTAGTCGCAAAGTGAAGAATCACGGGCCAAAAGGGCCAAAACTTCGAGATATATAGATTTCAGCTTTGAGCAGCCCTGGGGGAAGTGTTTATTGAAGTTTGGAATTTGTTCTTGGTGCACTTCCCTATGTCCAGCTGTACAAAAAGATCAGGGCGGCGATGGTCAGTTGTTGAGCTTCGAACAGGCAGAAAGGTGAGAAATTGTCGCGTTTTGACCATTTGTGCACACGTGTCACTTTCAACGTACCTCTCTATAACATGACCCAGCTGTGATGTGAGTGGTCGCATTGATTTGATTTTTGGTTTGCTTATAGGCCGCTGTCACCCGCTGTTAGTGACGCCGAAAATTTGGCACTGCTGTGAATAGTTTAGTCGCAAAGTGAAGAATCACGGGCAAAAAGGCCCAAAACTTCGAGATAGATAGATTTCAGCTTTGGGCAGCCCTGGGGGAAGTGTTTATTGAATGTGGAATTTTTTCTTGGTCCACTTCCCTTTGTCCAGCTATGCAACAAGATCAGGGTGGCGATGGTCAGTTCTTAAGCTTCGAACGGGCAGAAAGGTGAGAAATTGTCGCTTTTTGACCATTTGTGCCCACGTGTCACTTCCAGCGTGCCTCTCTATAACATAACCCAGCTGGGATGTAAGTGGTCGCATTGATTTCATTTTTGGTTTGCTTGTAGGCCGCTGGCACCCGCATTCAGTGACGCCGAAAATTTGGCACTGCTGTGAATAGTTTATTCGCAAAGTGTTGAATCACGGGCCAAAAGGCCCAAAACTTTGAGATAGATAGATATCAGCTTTGAGCAGCCCTCGGCAAAATGTTTATTGAAATGTGGAATCTTTTCTTGGTGCACTTTCCTATGTCCAGCTATGCAACAAGATCAGGGTGTCGATGGTCAGTTCTTGAGCTTCGAACGGGCAGAAAGGTGAGAAATTGTCGCTTTTTGACCATTTGTGCCAACGTGTCACTTCCAGCGTGCCTCTCTATAACATGACCCAGCTGGCATGTAAGTGGTCGCATTGATTTCATTTTTGGTTTGCTTGTAGGCCGCTGGCACCCGCATTCTGTGACGCCGAAAATTTAGCACTGCTGTGAATAGTTTATTCGCAAAGTGAAGAATCACCTGCAAAAGGGCCCAAAACTTCGAGATTGATTGATTTCAGCTTTGAGCAGACGTAGGCGAGTTGTTTATTGAAATGTGGAATTTTTTCTTGGTGCACTTCCCTATGTCCAGCTATGCAACAAGATCAGGGTGGCGATGGTCAGTTCTTGAGCTTCGAACTGGCAGAAAGGTGAGAAATTGTCGCTTTTTGACCATTTGTGCCCACGTGTCACTTCCAATGTACCTCTCTATAACATGACCCAGGTGTGATGTGAGTGATCGCATTGATTTAATTTTTGGTTTACTTGTAGGCCACTGGCACCCGCATTCAGTGACGTTGAAAATTTAGCACTGCTGTGAATAGTTTAGTCGCAAAGTGAAGAATCACAGGAAAAAGACCCCAAAACTTCGAGATGGATTGATTTCAGCTTTGTGCAGCCCTGGGCGAAGTGTTTATTGAAATGTGGAATTTTTTCTTGGTGCACTTCCCTATGTCCAGCTATGCAACAAGATCAGGGAGGAGATGGCCAGTTGTTGAGCTTCGAACGGGCAGAAAGGTGAGAAATTGTCGCTTTTTGACCATTTGTGCCCACGTGTCACTTTCAACTCTACCTCTGTACAACATGACCCAGCTGTGATGTGAGTGGTCGCATTGATTTGATTTTTGGTTTGCTTGTAGGCCACTGGCACCCGCATTCAGCGACGCCGAAAATTTGGGACTGTTGTGAATAGTTTAGTCGCAAAGTGAAGAATCACGGGCCAAAAGGGCCAAAACTTCGAGATATATAGATTTCAGCTTTGAGCAGCCCTGGGGGAAGTGTTTATTGAAGTTTGGAATTTGTTCTTGGTGCACTTCCCTATGTCCAGCTGTACAAAAAGATCAGGGCGGCGATGGTCAGTTGTTGAGCTTCGAACAGGCAGAAAGGTGAGAAATTGTCGCGTTTTGACCATTTGTGCACACGTGTCACTTTCAACGTACCTCTCTATAACATGACCCAGCTGTGATGTGAGTGGTCGCATTGATTTGATTTTTGGTTTGCTTATAGGCCGCTGTCACCCGCTGTTAGTGACGCCGAAAATTTGGCACTGCTGTGAATAGTTTAGTCGCAAAGTGAAGAATCACGGGCAAAAAGGCCCAAAACTTCGAGATAGATAGATTTCAGCTTTGGGCAGCCCTGGGGGAAGTGTTTATTGAATGTGGAATTTTTTCTTGGTCCACTTCCCTTTGTCCAGCTATGCAACAAGATCAGGGTGGCGATGGTCAGTTCTTAAGCTTCGAACGGGCAGAAAGGTGAGAAATTGTCGCTTTTTGACCATTTGTGCCCACGTGTCACTTCCAGCGTGCCTCTCTATAACATAACCCAGCTGGGATGTAAGTGGTCGCATTGATTTCATTTTTGGTTTGCTTGTAGGCCGCTGGCACCCGCATTCAGTGACGCCGAAAATTTGGCACTGCTGTGAATAGTTTATTCGCAAAGTGTTGAATCACGGGCCAAAAGGCCCAAAACTTTGAGATAGATAGATATCAGCTTTGAGCAGCCCTCGGCAAAATGTTTATTGAAATGTGGAATCTTTTCTTGGTGCACTTTCCTATGTCCAGCTATGCAACAAGATCAGGGTGTTGATGGTCAGTTCTTGAGCTTCGAACGGGCAGAAAGGTGAGAAAGTGTCGCTTTTTGACCATTTGTGCACACGTGTCACTTTCAACGTACCTCTCTATAACATGACCCAGCTGTGATGTGAGTGATCGCATTGATTTAATTTTTGGTTTACTTGTAGGCCGCTGGCACCCGCATTCAGCGACGCCGAAAATTTGGGACTGCTGTGTATAGTTTAGTCGCAAAGTGAAGAATCACGGGCAAAAGGGCCCAAAACTTCGAGATGGATTGATTTCAGCTTTGAGTAGCCCTGGGGGAAGTCTTTATTGAAGTGTGGAATTTTTTCGTGGTGCACTTCCCTATGTCCAGCTATACAAAAAGATCAGGGTGGAGATGGTTAGTTCTTGAGCTTCGAACAGGCAGAAAGGTGAGAAACTGTCGCGTTTTGACCATTTGTGCACACGTGTCACTTTCAACGTACCTCTCTATAACATGACCCAGCTGTGATGTGAGTGGTCGCATTGATTTGATTTTTGGTTTGCTTATAGGCCGCTGCCACCCGCTGTTAGTGACGCCGAAAATTTGGCACTGCTGTGAATAGTCTAGTCGCAAAGTGAAGAATCACGGGCAAAAAGGCCCAAAACTTCGAGATGGATTGATTTCAGCTTTGAGCAGCCCTGGGGGAAGTGTTTATTGAAATGTGGAATTTTGTCTTGGTCCACTTCCCTATGTCCAGCTATGCAACAAGATCAGGGTGGCGATGGTCAGTTCTTGAGCTTCGAACTGGCCGAAAGGTGAGAAATTGTCGCGTTTTGACCATTTGTGCCCACGTGTCACTTCCAGCGTACCTCTCTATAACATGACCCAGCTGGGATGCAAGTGGTCGCATTGATTTCATTTTTGGTTTGCTTGTAGGCCGCTGGCACCCGCATTCAGTGAGGCCGAAAATTTAGCACCGCTTGTGAATAGTTTATTCGCAAAGTGAAGAATCACCTGCAAAAGGGCCCAAAACTTCGAGATTGATTGATTTCAGCTTTGAGCAGACGTAGGCGAGTTGTTTATTGAAATGTGGAATTTTTTCTTGGTGCACTTCCCTATGTCCAGCTATACAACAAGATCAGGGTGGCGATGGTCATTTCTTGAGCTTCGAACTGGCAGAAAGGTGAGAAATTGTCGCTTTTTGACCATTTGTGCCCACGTGTCACTTTCAACGTGTCTCTGTATAACATGACCCAGCTGTGATGTGAGTGGTCGCATTGAATTAATTTTTGGTTTACTTGTAGGCAGCTGGCACCCGCATTCAGCGACGCCGAAAATTTGGGACTGCTATGAACAGTTTAGTCGCAAAGTGAAGAATCACGGGCAAAAGGGCCCAAAACTTCGAGATGGATTGATTTCAGCTTTGAGTAGCCCTGGTGGAAGTTTTTATTGAAGTGTGGAATTTTTTCTTGGTGCACTTCCCTACGTCCAGCTATGCAACAAGATCAGGGTGGCGATGGTCAGTTCTTGAGCTTCGAACTGGCAGAAAGGTGAGAAATTGTCGCGTTTTGACCATTTGTGCACACGTGTCACTTTCAACGTACCTCTCTATAACATGACCCAGCTGTGATGTGAGTGGTCGCATTGATTTGATTTTTGGTTTGCTTATAGGCCGCTGCCATCCGCTGTTAGTGACGCCTATAATTTGGCACTGCTGTGAATAGTTTAGTCGCAAAGTGAAGAATCACGGGCCAAAAGGGCCAAAACTTCGAGATATATAGATTTCAGCTTTGAGCAGCCCTGGGGGAAGTGTTTATTGAAATGTGGAATTTTTTCTTGGTGCACTTCCCTATGTCCAGCTATGCAAAAGGTTCAGGGTGGCTATCGTCAGTTCTTGAGCTTCGAACGGGCAGAAAGGTAAGAAATTGCCGCTTTTTGACCATTTGTGCCCACGTGTCACTTCCAACGTACCTCTCTATAACATGACCCAGCTGAGATGGGAGGGATCGCATTTGTTTGCGCCGGTATTCTCACTCACAACACAGAGTCTGAGGTTTATAGAATATTATCACTAGGAGAAGACTGTATCCATTGCAAACTGATTGCAATACTTCAAAAAGGCTAGCTACTACCTGGTAGTAACAGAAACAGCCAAAGACCAAGAACACCACCACTGCACCAGCAAGCTCTTTCCTTGCACTCACTACAAAATACATCAAAATCAAGCAGCAAAATGCAAATCCACACGCATGTTTGCCGGAACTGAACCTCCATAGCGCAGCTGATCATTGCGGCTGCACGAGACGACCTTCCCGCCACAGCAGGGCAAAGAACTATGCATGGAACTAGCAATGAATGCATGCAGCAGTTATGAATAGGGACATCAACAAGACACAACACACAGTAGTCATGAGCAGGCCGAGGTAACTGAGGGCCGGGGAACAGTACAGACATGTGCACAACAGCACCTAGGTTTACTACTACCTAAGGTTATTCATGTCTTGGTCTAAACTGAGCAAGTTACTAGTGGAGATCTGTGGGGTGACTTGGTTGTACCAACATCCTCCCCCCGGTGACGTCTTCAAGCGTCACCCTTATTCAGAACGTCCAGCACACAGATATTTGACACCGGCCTGCGGTATGTCCCGGACGCTGTCTTGACGTCGGCCACTCTGACATGTCCATCGGTGCCGGGATAGACGGCCGTAATGGTACCTTTCGGCCAGCTGCCTCTGGGTAGGTCTCTGTCGGCAATCACGACTATGTCATTGACCTTGACTTCTTTCTGCTGTCGCTGATGCCACTTCGTCCTTCTCGTCAACGTCGGCAGGTATTCATGCAGCCACCTCCTCCTTTTCCCAGCACGAAAGCGACCTGGGCACTCCCGTCGGCGAAGGTGACTATGAGGTAGGCTGCAGCCGCAAAGGCCGACTCGCTGGCGTCTCCAAAGACGTGTAGTTGAACTTGGGCTCTCTTGGTCATATCTTCACTGTAGGGGCGTGGCACAGACAGCTCGCTCAGCTTGAGTAGCATTTGCCACCACTCTTTCCAGCGTGTCACGAGGTCATCCGGTAGCGGCTGGTCCCAGCTGACTCCGGTGCGCCATATCCGCTGGAGAAGTACCTTTGCCGATACCGTGTGAAATGCCAGGTAGCCAAGCGGATCAAATACTGACATGCACATGCGTAGCACATGTCGCTTTGTCGGCTGCGTCACTTCTGCTTCTTGTGTCACCAGTCGTGCACTTAGCTTGAAGCTGAAGATGTCCTCCCGCGGCATCCATTTGAGGCCAAGGGTCTTTTCGGTCGGGGTGGCCGTTTCACCGCTGTCGATCGTGAGAGCGCTGTCGGACCTGAGCTCGGGTGGCACGCTTGCTAGGACCTCTGACGAGTTGCTTACCCAGCTACGAATGGTGAACCCGCCGGCTTTGTGGATCTTGACGACTTGAAGCGCTCTGGCGACAGCTGTCTCCACGGTTGGCGTTGAATCGAAGTAGTCGTCCATGTAGTGCTTGCGGTTGATTGCATAGACAGCTTCTTCGTGGTGGTCCCTGAACTCCTCAGCATTCCTCCGCATCACGAACTGGGCCGAGGCAGGCGAGCATACCGCTCCGAACGTCATCGCCTTCATTTGGTACGCGTCCGGCTCTCTGTCACGTTTCATGCCTCGCCAAAGGAAGCGTTGGGATGGTTGATCTTTTTCCCGAATCTGAACCTGGTGGAACATCTGCTGTATATCGCCGCCGAAGGCAATACGGTGCTCCCTGAACTTGAATAGAACGCCGGTGAGAGAATTCAGCAGATCCGGACCCGGAACCAGGGCGTCGTTTAGGCTCATGCCGTTGCTTGAGGCTGCCGCGTCGAAGACTAGTCGCAGCTTCCCTGGTTTGTTCGGGTTCGTGACACCAAAGTGCGGCTGGTACCACTTGCGCTCGTGGAATGCTGTCTCCTCTTCTGGTGTCAGCTTGAAGGCATAACCGGCAGCCAGGTACTGTTCGATCTTACTGCAGTACGCGTCAGCGAAGACTTGATCCCTGTCCATCTTTCGCTCGAAGGAGAACAGCCGCCGGAGGGCCATGGGCTTGCTCTCTGGTAGGAGTATGCCACTTTCTCTCCACAGGAGTCCGGTTTCCCAGCGGTCTCCGACTCGTCTGGTGGTCGATTCCATGATCCTCTCAGCTCGCGCTTCCTGTCGGGACCGGATCTTAGTGCTGGTGACCTTGACACCAAACGAGTCTGTGGTGAAGAAAGACTTGACGAGCAGATGTAGGTCGTCATCGAAGCAGCCATCTTTGATTTGCCCTGACAGGCTGCTGTGGGCGTTTTCGGTGCTGAGGTCATCGACTCTGCCGTGGATTGCCCAGCCTAGCTTGCACCGCGTGGCTACCGGCGATCCGGGCGGTCCCTCGACCCACTCTCGGGGCATGATCAGGTCACAATTGTCCTGCCCGATGAGCATTCTGGGCTTCTGCATATCCTCCACTGTCAGATCAGCGTCTCGGAGGTGTTTCCAGTGCTGGCAGGTGCTGTTGACGTCGAGGTCTTGCTTGGGTAGATCCAGTGTAACGGTTCGTACATCGTTCAGGTAGAACTCCTGCCCGCTTCCGAACACCGAAACCTCCTCCTTCCTGGAGTTGTTGTCAGTCTGGCTGGTGTCGTCCGTCCAGGTCAGTGTCAGCGGGCAGTGCGTCCCCTTGGCGCCGATCTCCTTGGCTAGGCTAGCGTCAAGCAACGTGACTGTAGATGCTTCGTCGAGCAGAGCGAACGTGTGGACCGTCCCCTTCGTGCCTGTGACGTTGATGGGTACTGTGCGCAGCATCACCCTCCCACTGGTAGGTCGTCGAGTTGCGTTGCACGGCGCTGGCTGGTCCCCCGTCCTCTCCTGCGTGCTCGGTTGCGGCAGATGGAGGAGTCGGTGGTGTAGCCTTTCGCACCCGTCACGTCTGCACCGTGCTTTCTTCGGGCAGTCCTTGACTTGGTGTCCACAGCCAAAACAGACGAAGCAGCGGTTCTCATTCTTGATCCACTTCCACCTGTCCTTGACTAGCGCCTTCTTCAAGGTGTTGCAGTTGGCAGCGGAGTGCCCGGATTTCTTGCAGAAACCACATTGTTCTTCTCGTGCGGTGAAGGTGTTCCCACGGAGGCCGCCTGGTCGCCTGCCAGATGGCGGCTTTTTCAGCTCTGTCAGTGGCGGTGAGTCTTCTGACGTGGCTGATAGCGTCCGCTCGTTGTGATAGCCATTCGGAGAGTGTTGCCAGGGTCACTCCGGTCTGTTGGGTATGGACGAACTCCCCCCATTGCCGCTTCAGGCTGTTGGGAAGTTTCATGATCACTTCCTGCCGCAGGGTGGGATTTGTGAGATGTCCGGTATCGTCCATGAGCTGCATTGTTGCGACGAGGTTGCCGACCGCATTTGCCGTGTCGATGAGGGCCTCGAAGTCCTCTTCTCCAGCTGGCTTCAGTTTCTTGACGCCGTCAATTATGGTCTGTATCACCTGCTCTGGCTGCCCGAACCGCATTTCCAGAGTCTGCATGACACGATCGACGTTATCAGGTACAATGAGCATGGCTTTGACGGTGTCCTTAGCCTTCCCTTTGAGGGCTTTCTGTAGCCTGGCCATATTCTCCGCATTGGAGAATTTGCATTCACTCGTCGATGACGTGAACATATGGCGGAACATCGGCCAGGACGCCGGGTCGCCGTTAAACTCTGGGAGGTCCTTTGCGGTGGACTGTCGGGCGACTATCTTCTGAAGGTCGCTGCCAGTATCTTGGGAGCCATGTCTCTGCGTGGCTGTCGTCAGGTGTCCGGCCAAGGCTTCCGCAAGCTGGCTGACAGCTGTCACCACTGAAGTCTGAGCGGCCTGGGCCGGGGTGTGCTCTTCATCTGCGATTGGCTGGTCCCTAGCGCGTGCTGCGGGCGGCAGGTGTTGTGTCGGCTCAGCCTTGTCGCCAAGGGACTCCACATCCTCAGTATCTTTCGGGACGGGTTGGTGGTACTCAGCTGGAGTCCGGCGGTGGTATGACGATGACTTGTCCACAGACCTCGCTCCCCTGAGTTCTGCAGGTCGAGGCTCGTACTCGTGGACGGCGTGGAATAGAGCATCGTTACCAGGACTACTCGTGTCAGTCACGGTATCACGTCTCTGTTCGACTGCCCGGTCTGCAGGGCTACCTCGCGCTGCGCATTCCTCTAGGAACAGCTGGCGCCACTGGTCAGCTTTCCTTTGCTGCTGCTCCGCAGATTGCCTGGCTTGACTCAGGAGCTCACGTAGGTGATCCTTGTCACCCTCCGCGCGCGCAGCCTGCTCCTCGATCTCCTGGAGTTCTTCGCGTGACCGCTGTCTCTGGCAGGCCATCGCCTCGAACTCTACCTTGCGCTGCTCCGATACGCGCTTCATCTTGTCGAGTTCAGCCCGCAGTTCGGTGTTGCAATCATACAGGTCGCTGTTCTCAGCTTGAGCTGTGCTCTTGTGGAGGTCTAGCTCGCGACGTGTTCGCCGCAATTCAGACTGAAGTTGTTGCACGACAAGATCCTTCTCATGACTTTCGTCAGCGGACTGTTGTAAACTTTGCTGCAGGCAATCAATCATCCGGTGTGCGTGACTGAGTGCGTCTTCGTTGGCCTGTGACTGTGCATTGTGTGCGGTTACAGCTGACTGCTCAGGGAGATTCACAGGTTCAGGACTACTGTGCAGTGTTTGGAGCGCTGGTGGCGCTAGAGCTAGCGGTGTGGCATCTGCGCGTTCTGCCATGCTGTACGGAATGTGTGAAGAGGCACTAGTACCTTGCTCTACCTGCTCCGTGCGCTGTGTACCGGTACTTACTGAGTCTGACACTAAAACTGAGTTTTTGCCAACTCCTTGAAGTCGCTCTACTGTCCTACCGCTTGTAGAACGGGACTTGACTGTACGTGGGTCGCAGACACTATCTGCACTCAGGTCTATCAAGTCCGGGTCACTAGTTTGCCCTGACTGTACGGATTTAGCAGGGTACAACACGCTCACCTCATCGCTGCCATTTGCAGCTGTGGGCGCTTGCATTTCAGATCGTCGCTCTTCCTCGAACACTTCCTCTCTCATCGCGGGCGATGAAGACTTCGGGGTGCCAGAGCGTCTGGACGCCCTCTCGAGATTCAAGCTGGCCAGGTCAGCCTCCGCCTCTGCGACCCTCTTTCTCGCTTCTAGCAGGGCGCCCCTTGCTTCCATCACTGATGGCGCACTTCCTGACGTGCGGCTTGATGCGAGCGACGGTGTCTGCCTGCTGAAGCTGGTTCTTGGACTGGTCGCACTCTCTTCGTCCTCAAACCCCAGTCGCCTGGGAGCAACTCCCTTGGTTGAACGAGCACTCGTTCTTTGTTCCTCCGCCATTCGCGATCCGGCTCGAAGGACCAATGTTTGCGCCGGTATTCTCACTCACAACACAGAGTCTGAGGTTTATAGAATATTATCACTAGGAGAAGACTGTATCCATTGCAAACTGATTGCAATACTTCAAAAAGGCTAGCTACTACCTGGTAGTAACAGAAACAGCCAAAGACCAAGAACACCACCACTGCACCAGCAAGCTCTTTCCTTGCACTCACTACAAAATACATCAAAATCAAGCAGCAAAATGCAAATCCACACGCATGTTTGCCGGAACTGAACCTCCATAGCGCAGCTGATCATTGCGGCTGCACGAGACGACCTTCCCGCCACAGCAGGGCAAAGAACTATGCATGGAACTAGCAATGAATGCATGCAGCAGTTATGAATAGGGACATCAACAAGACACAACACACAGTAGTCATGAGCAGGCTGAGGTAACTGAGGGCCGGGGAACAGTACAGACATGTGCACAACAGCACCTAGGTTTACTACTACCCAAGGTTATTCATGTCTTGGTCTAAACTGAGCAAGTTACTAGTGGAGATCTGTGGGGTGACTTGGTCGTACCAACAGCACTGATTTAGTTTTTGGTTTACTTGTAGGCCGCTGGCACCCGCATTCAGTGACGCTGAAAATTTGGCACTGCTGTGAATAGTTTATTGGCAAAGTGAAGAATCACAGGCAAAAGGGCCCGAAACTTCGAGATAGATGGATTTCAGCTTTGAGTAGCCCTGGGCGAAGTGTTTATTGAAATGTGAAAATTTGTCTTGGTGCACTTCCCTATGTCCAGCTATGCAACAAGATCAGGGTGGCGATGGTCGGTTCTTGAGCTTCGAACGGGCAGGAAGGTGAGAAATTGTCGCTTTTTGACCATTTGGTGACATGTCACGTCCAACGTACCTCTGTACAACATGACCCAGCTGTGATGTGAGTGGTCGCATTGATTTCATTTTTAGTTTACTTGTAGGCCGCTGGCACCCGCATTCAGCGACGCCGGAAATTTGGGACTGCTGTGAATAGTTTAGTCGCAAAGTGAAGAATCACGGGCAAAAAGGCCCAAAACTTCGAGATACTAGTAGATTGATTTCAGGTTTGAGCAGACCTGGGCAATTTGTATCTTGTGAATGCCGTTCAATCATACTGTTCTCATTGTGTGTTTGGACAGAGGAACCTGTCTAACGAAAAAGACGGAAGTTGCATGCTATCTTGACGACCTGAAAATTGTATGATTGTACTCGTATGAATGGTGCTATGCACGTACAAACTCACCCAGGCTAACGCTATTCAGTGAACATTCCGCTTGTGTACATGCTGCATTTTGCGGGTTTGACAGCTGCATCCATGTTTAAGCTGCACCCCCGTCTCCCCTCCTTTCGAGCCCAGCATTTGTATCTTTGTTGATATTCAGTGTATAACAGGCACGTCCAACTTTGAATGTTTTGTCAACCTAACTAGGTATCGGTATATGCGCAACGCGTTGCCAGTGGTTAAAAGTTGAGAAGTACGACCAGAGTTGTAACAAAAGTTACCCAGTTATCCTGCACTCAGTACTGACAACATGTAGAAGCGTCTTGCTAGTACAATGATGTATTACACTACATGAAAAATAGTTGAATGACACATGAATAAAATAGTTGAATGACACATGCACATCAGATGCATACTGTGTTGTAACACTGGTTGATTCACAACATGGGACACGTACTGTCGGGTGAAGTGATTGGGACAAGCTCGGCGATAGCTTTTATATTGCGGGTCAGATTTCAAATGACACCTTTTGCAAGGTGTATCACAGGTCTTCCCTGCTGACTTTTGATTGATCTTTATTCTTACAATGGCCGTAGCCAAATATATTGTACAACATAATAATTATGTTGACAAGCATGTGATAGCGGGTAGGATGTGTAGACTACGATGATGTTGATAAGCATGTGATAGCGGGTAGGATGTGTAGACTACGATGATCATTAGGTAATACTAGTACGGTAGAGACGCTCGATGAAGAACGTCGAGCCAAAGAACGTCCGGCATAAAATGCTAAGAACGCCACAGCCTAAAGTTAAGAACGGCAGTGTTGGTTGTCCGGCAGCGTTTGGGATACATATGATCCACAACGAATTGTTTCCAAGAACGTGCTATAAGAATGCAGCAAGATTGCCCAAGAAAAATAATAAGAACGCCCCAGGCCAATCGCTTGGAAACAACGTTCTTGGACGTGCAACTCTACTGTAATACGGATATATGTGTAGTTCATTGCCATGTTTGGTGTGTGTGTGTATGTGTGTGTGTGTGCCTGTGTAAATGCGTGCACTTGTGCATGCGTGGCACGGGTGTATTTTTCTTGTTCGTTACTCTCGTTTTTCTCAGGAGGAGGCCAGCTGAGACACTATAGTTGTGATGATGAAAGTTGGGCAATGATGAATACAAGCAAAAGGCTGTTCAAAGAATTTCCAACTACAACCCTGCAGACCGGGAGCCAAATGAACAGGACCTCGACCAGCTTCAATTACATCTGAACATGTTTCTATAAGGAAGAGTTGACAAGGTACCTGAACATTACAATGACTCTTACCATCTTGAAAGAACACTCCGCACGCGCACACACGCGAACGGTTTTTTTTGCTTGTTGGCCCGCACACTGCTTGGCGTTTAGAATATACATATGCCTTGTTACTGTGCAGATACATTGTGTCTGGTATAGCGAAATATGACCAGCACTTGATTGTATTGGGATGAGTGGCCTTTTGGATTATAATGGAACTTGGACTTCACTCCTATGAATCAGATACTGCCAGGCTGCCAAGGATGTGCACACTCGACTGCTTTGGTCACGGGACAAAATCCGGTGGCCCGCACTCCACCGGATTATATACTGCATTGCATAGCTGGTGCCAATGTAGTGTCCTTTATGTATGGAGATTTGTGATGACCTTGGTGTATGCTATTTACTGTTGCTAACATGCAAAATTCCTACTCCGTCTAGACAAAGCCTTGTAAATTTGAGTTTCCAACTTTTCGATACCTCGGCCAAGAAAGATTGCCATGTCCAGCATGGCGAGACAGATAAGTGGAGATAGATTTTGTCAAAATTTACTCCTTTTGTAAATGGAGAGAGAGGGAGAAGGAGATGGATTGATTGAAAGATATAATTATATAGAGGGAGAGAGAGAGAAGGGTGGGTGGGGGAAGAGAGAGAGGGGGGGGGGGAGAGACCAATCAGCAAGCCTGAGAAGAGGCTTCTAAGATTTTCTGCTCCAGTGGAGTTTTCCTGCTTGTTTCTGCTCCTTCATGCAGAAACAATAAGCGTTCAGCCATCAGCAGGCTAAGAAAAAAAACACATGCTGAACTCTGATTGGCCAGTCGTTTCAGGTGTGAAGTGCTGAGCCAGGATAGGCTATAAAAGTAATCATTCCAGGAGGGGATGGTGGTCGGGGTTTGGGATGGCAGATTTTGATTTTCTTCTCAGCTTAAACTTCTGCATGAGGAAGGAGAAACACTGCTGTTTCTGCATGAGGGTAGAATGGGGATGGTGGTCGGGGTTTGGGTTCGGGGTTAGATTTTCTTCTCCAGGCTTGTTTCTCCTCCAGAAAAAAAACAAGAATTCAGCCATCAGCAGGCCAAGAAGATAACACTTGTTGAACTCTGATTGGTTGAGGGTGGTTGACACCAGCCATTTCAGAATTTTTAGAATTCTCTCTGCCGGCTTAGAGAATTCTAAAATTCAGTCAATCAGAGTTCACTCTACCTGAAGCAGGGACGTATACCCTAGTACCCAATCACAACCCTATTTCAAACAGCACTCGAGCTAGACACTGAGTGCCGTTACATCCAAATATCTCCTTTCTGCCATCACTCACACATACACACACACACACACACTATTGGCTCATTGGACGCCCATTGCCCGAAGCGATGCTAATGATGCTACAACAGCTATAGCCACTTGTGCTGGGATTGCACAATTCAACAGCTTGCAAGGCTGAAGAATTGACTGCCACTATTCAGCCTGGTCTACACCACACAGCTATGAAGTGGCTTTTTCTGGCCAGTTCTCTCCCGGCATTAGAATATAAAAAGCTAGCTGTAAACTGCTGAGTGGTTGACGATAGGGGAAGCATCCATGCTGCGCTCCTTGTAAGCCCATGGGGTACAAGCAGCCATGCTAGCAACCGTGAGTTTCATGCAGGTAGCATCTCCTCAGTACACACACACACACACACACACACACACACACACACACACACACGTACACACACACACCATTGGACGCCCATCGCCGGAGGTGATGATAGCGATGCTACAGCAGAAGCCATATCAGCTTGTGCTGGGATTGCACCATTCAACAGCTTGCAAGGCTGAAGAATTGACCGCTACACCACACAGCTACACACACACACACACACACACACACACACACACACACACACACACACACACACACACACACACACACACACACACACACACACACACACACACACACACACACACACACACACACACACACACACACACACACACACACACACACACACACACACACACACACACACACACACACACACACACACACACACACACACACACACACACACACACACACACACACACACACACACACACACACACACACACACACACACACACACACACACACACACACACACACACACACACACACACACACACACACACACACACACACACACACACACACACACACACACACACACACACACACACACACACACACACACACACACACACACACACACACACACACACAGACACACACACACACACACACAGACATGCGCACAAGCCCACTGCTATGACATAACGACGACCATGATCCACGCACAACAAGCAAGATAGCAGCAGCAGCAAGCAGCAACAAGCGGCAACAAGCAGCACACTCGGAAAATTATTTTTTTCAGACACATGCAAAATTGAACGTTGACCGTTGATGTCCTCTGCATCACTGTAGATGTTTGCAGCAGTAATAGCGTGCGTTACAGTGGCCCACAGTTCAGTCCGATGCACTTCTGAAGGCAAAGAAAAAGATCACACAAATACAGTGGAACATAGATTATCCCCACATCAACTATCCGCAAGATCAAGTATCGGAATGGCAGCCGGAAGGCCGATTACCCGGAATGGCAGGTCATCCAAAAATTCCAAAAAATATAAACAATAAAAAGATGACAACGCAGTACTTGATTTCACCAATGCACTCGTGTAGTCTGTACATATACCAGGTAAGTGTGTGCTGCTAGCATGCCCGTCGTCAATGCATGGTAGTACGTATGTAGGACTCAGTATAGAGTCCATGCACTATATGATGTCCAGCACCCTATATAGAGTCCATTGGTCCAAAATCCACTATACAGAGTCCAGGAGTCCACTCAGTTTTGATCAGTTTCATCCTGCCGCGCAATCCCCTATAAGGAGTACACTTTTTCTACAAGTCCCCTATTCACGGTCCAGGGGTCCAGTTTATCCAGTCACGCCGTCCTGTGTGTTGTGCCCGAAACTGAAGAGAACAAACACCTTTTCAGTTTTGCTTGCCTGGTGGCAGCGCATTCCTTTCTTCACTTCAGCCATGGCTGCCAGTTCTGCTGTGCAGTTGCTGACAGTAATCTGTCTCGAGGTAACCAAGGAGGATAAGGAGACGTTCAAAATCAAATCTGGAAAGCGTCTTGTGGTTCTCTGAAGACGTTTCATCAGTGCGCGGGATGAAAGCAGAAATTGCAGAACGAGAAAAGTTCAGCACAGTTCAAATCTGACGAGTCAGGTACACTGCCACTCTCTTTCGTTCGACGCCACAAGGATCCCCTGTTTGGCTGGCCATTGCTGCCAGTAAGGCGTTTGAACGGTTTCATCAGAGCGAGGGATGAAAGCAGAAAGCGGAGAACGAGAAAAGTTCAGCACAGTTCCAATCTGACGAGTCAGATACACTGACACTCTCTTTCGTTCGACGCCACAAGGATACCCTGTTTGACTGGACAAGAGCTGCCTGTACCACCGTGTCAAAAGGCTGTCCAACTACATGGCAGGACGATGACTGAGGTAAGGAAGCTTTTACTCGTTTCGATTCGTCTGCTATTCTGTCGTTATGCTTGAATTTTTTTCCATTTTCAAGGATCGTATCGCGTTTGTTTGATGTTGCTTGAATGAATGCCCTAAAAGTAATCAACCACTTCGTAATAGTCCTCAAGGACTGCAAGGACTTGCATCAATCGTATACGATCGTCTAGCTATCATCAATTATTATTTTATTTCATGAGAAATGTATTTTTATCCCTGTGATAATTATGTGAACTCCACGACACTCTTCCTCTACTTGGCTCTAGTATGATGTCAAGTACAATGGGATCCACAAACGCAGTGCCAGTGTACCGTAGTAGTAGTAGTAGGAGGATTTCTCGTATGCCGATGACAAGAAAAAGCTTCTCAAGCTAATACATGTACTCGTATTCCATGAAGTAACCGTTTTGATGTCACAAACATGACATTGTGTCAGTGAAACTGCCTCGTGACAACAAATCATTGCATTTCCATCTTGGGGAAGACTGACTGACGGCAACGCTGTACAGATTGTTCAAATCATCTCATTTCAATTTAGTTGCAGTGAAGTGAAACACTGTGTACACTACATGTATGGTGGTGTGTCTGTGCATCTTGAGTGTGCACAAACGATCTTACTGTAAGACATGTTATTATAACGAGTCGCAAATTTAACGATTGTCCAAAATTCATAGGTTAACGAGAAGATATGTTAACGATCTTGCAGTATTCTGCCATATCCACACACAGCATAATATGAATCAGTACGGCCTCAACGGATCTTATTATAACGAAGAAATGTCATCCGTTAAAACGGTAGATTTGCTTCCTCGTAATATTATACATGTCTTACAGTATTCCTCGTATTACTAATAGATTATTGTCCCCACCGTCACCTGTTCACAGGTCTTTGAGTGGATGGATTTTCATTGAGCATTACATTCGTTGAGAACTTGGTAGTTGTGTGCTTCCATGCATCATTACGGTAATACGCGTATCCTTGTGCTATCTATTTGTTGCAGGTGTGCTGATCTTCAGAAGATTGCGGAACTGAGTGCTGCTGAACATTCGCATGGCCATGAGCAATGGTGAAGCTTGCTATTGCACTCTCAGCATGTCCTAGTATTATGCTGACTACTGCACTATGTTACTCTCTTACGCTACTACACGTATGTAAACGTGCGCGCATCCGCCCATGTATGCATTCGTTTCGTATAATTATTTGTTATCCCTCTTGACTTTACGTGTAAATGGGTGGACGTTTGCATGGCTGTTGGAGTTGCGTGTGTATTGTGTCTCTACTCTTTTTTTGGTGTTTTCCTGGCGTTGTATAAGTTTGTGTGTGTGTGTGTGTGTGTGTTTGTGTGTGTGCGCGTGCACAATAATTTGAAAACAAATAATTAATCCTTGGCTCTCCATTATTCTCTTTCGATTCTTGGTTTTTTTCTAGGTATTTTCTTGGCGTTGTGTGGGTATGTGCATGTGTGTGTGTGCGTGCACAATAATTTGGCAACACTACATGATTGAGATATTGTAATTTGCAGTGTCTGCGAAAAGACCACTTGATTTGAGGATGGTGTTTGTAGGGTTTTTCATGTAATGAAGTGGCTGCAGTGGCGCCTCAATACTTATTTTTTATCTTGAGAAGTGAATGATGTAAAGGATTAAAGGGAGAGGCCGTTTTTTGGTTAATATTCACTGCTTACAGCAGATCCTTTGTCTAATTTCGAACTCTGGATAGGGGATGCCTAATTGGCTGGACTTTATACAGGGAGTGTTGTCCACATAAAGACTCCTTATAGTTGATTTCAAAGTTTGGACTCCATACAGTTGATTTTGGACCAATGGACTCTATATAGGGGTGAAGCCAATTGGCTGGACTCTATACAGGGAGTGATGTCCATCTAAACTTTGAGCTCACAGTTGATTCCATGTTTGGACTCTGTACAGTGGATTTTGGACCAATGGACTCTATATAGGGGTTGGACATCATATAGGGGCTGGACGCTCTACTGAGTCCAACACGTATTTTCGATGATGAATCTGTATCACACGCATGCACATGGTCATTCTATGAGCCCTATGCTACAAACTTATTTGTACATGGTCATTCTATGAGCCCTATGCTACAAACTTATTTGTACATGGTCATTTTTTGAGCCCTATGCTACAAGCTTATTTGTACATGGTCATTCTATGAGCCCTATGCTACAAGCTTATTTGTACATGGTCATTCTATGAGCCCTATGCTACAAGCTTATTTGTACATGGTCATTCTATGAGCCCTATGCTACAAGCTTATTTGTCACTCCTTCATTATACGAACATTTCCCCCATCTGAGCCCCTTCTGAACAATGTCTGCCCAGAAGGGTTTTGATGCGATTGACGTTATGTATCTAATATTGACTGAGTACGAGGTCAATATAGGAAATAAAGGCCGAGTAAAAGACCGAGGCGAAGCCGAGGTCTTTTACAAGGTTTTTATTTCCTATACTGACCAAGTACGAAGTCAATATTAGATTTATCACGACAAACAGTCCGTATTTCAAATTCCAGAACAATAACCTCATGAATCCCGGTTTTATGATTGCACAACCGTTGCACCACCACCTACCCATGCAGTGACAATGCTGCACTAGGCACCGTTAAACTGCGCAACCCCTAAGCAGTCAAATATAAGCAGTCAATATAGCCCTAAGGAGTGAAATATGCAGGAATGTTTGACTGCTTAGGTATGGCAAAAATCTATGTGAGTCAATACTAAGGGAGTGATAAACCACAAGATGATAATTTGACATGTTCTTGCAGCCTCACACCCCCCCCCCCCCCCTCGGCCCTGTTCTACCGTAAACTACAGTCAATAGATCACCATCCCTGCTGTGTCGCCTACCAGCTCTTTTACAGTCAGACCAAGCACTGTACCGCATACACCGTGGCTGTACAATCATACAAGTGACACAACTTTTGTTTGTCACCACTTGACCAAGTAACTACATGTGAGTACGAGTGCAAAGGAGTAATTTGGCAATTACCGGCAAAGTGCTCAATGCTGCACAAACTGCAGAGCGTTTCACACGAAAAAAGGAAGAAGAGAAATAGGTGCAGTTTGGATTTGTCGTAACTCAAAGTATCAGTTCTGCTGCTTCTTCTCCGTGATGTGCACAGTTACACCTTCTCTCCCCCCTCTGCATAGAGGTGACATAACTCACATCCTTTTTTAGGCGCTACACTCTGTATAACGCCACGGCACGCGCCCTTACTTCACAGAGCACAATGCAATGGCGCGCTACCTTCTGCTGCGTCTTCTCCCTGATGTGCTAGTTGCACCTTCTCTCTCTCTGCCCCCCCCCTTCTGCATACTAGGTGACATAATTCGCATTTTTTTGGCGCTACACTTTGCGTATATATACTGCTCTTGTGTGGCTTTCACGGTATTCATTGTTATTACCTGACGATGGCCAAGTGCCGAAACGTTGTAGAAATAACAGAACTGGTTCGGATGTGCAGCGCTATGGGAATGGGTGCGTCCACCCAAATTCCTTTCAAAGTATCATGCAACTGCAATCATCAGACAACTGATAATAAGAACTTAAGACTAATCATTATGAATAAGATCATGGTTGAACTCGGATGGTGAGCCAATTTAATTCTGGAAAAAGGAGAAGGAGAAAATGTTACGAGCTATGACTACTGTCCATCAACGTAACCAGATCATACACAGTCAGCGAGTGCGACAAAGTGGCACAAAACTGACAAGGAATACTAAGGCATTCGGCGTCAGATCGCCGAATGCCTCAGTACTCCATGTCAGTTTTGTGCCATTTTGTCGTACTCGCCGACTGTATAAGATCTGGTTACGTTGGTGGACAGTTAATCATAACTCATAAGCTCTTGTCCTTCTCCGTTTTTACCATAATAAGATCATGCGTGATACTTGGCACTTAGATTGACGTTACTCTACACGATTCAACGAATGAA